TATATATATATATATATGAATTAATAAGAAAAGAGTTTATTTACATAAGTGGTGAATAGTAGATTGCATATAATTTGATAAGAATATTATTGTGTTTGAAGTGATTGGTCGTAAACAATAGAAAATGCATAGTTTCAGATGGCTGAAAGGGGTGACAGCTGAATGTGCTGAGTCTGGCTGCAAGTTGGCGCGAAATGCGATTAATATCACGACGGCAATGTGATCACGATTATTATTTGATTTATAACGTCATCAACAACACCTCTTAACGATATCTTGCTTCATGCTATTTCATACGTACTAGTTTCGCAGCTGTCGTCATTCCTTGAACTTACCATCAATCCATCGATTTTGATCCTTGTCTTAATCATAAGCTCGTTTATGTAGTCTCGGTGTGATAAGCCTAATCTCACACCCAACCCTTCGTGTCTATATTGAATACATATTTGATAACCTACTTCCTTTTCATTCAATACTAAATCGAAGATTTTGGAAACGACTGCACATAAACTGAACCTGATATGAAAAGCATGAACGATTCAAAAGATCTTGTAGACAATGATCAAAAATAACAGCATCGATAATAGCAAATATGATAATGAAGGATTAGGAAAAACCAGCCTATAAACGAACGTAGATTCATGTCGTTCAATAAACCGACATCAATTTGTAAAAATGATGATCCATTTGAAAAAAATACGATTGAAGATAATAACGATGGAAAATAAAAAATACGATTAAAGATTAAAGAAGGAATAATATCAAGACTTGATCAAACGACATTTCATTACGCGTAAATTAACGAATGTCACTTCGTAATTTAATTCATCTCTTTCGTGAATTATGACTGCTACGACGCTATCGGAAGCCAACCGAATCAGTTTCGAAACTTCGGTTTCCAGAAAGAAATTCGAAAATTTTTGATCGAAGTCCAATTTTGCTAATCCGACATTCGAATTCTAAATTTTCCGGTTGGAATTCGATAGAATTCATTTCCGTAACTTTACCGGCAAAAATCGGACTTCGATCGGCTACTATCAATAGTAAAAAGGCAAGAAGAAGAATTTCGATACGACGTGAATAAATTAGTTGTACAGATATATATTCTCAAGGTGCTTTCACATTTCAGACAGTCATTTCAGTTACTATGAATGAATTCGATGAAGGCACACACAATCACAAAAACATTCCACTGTGAACATAAGTGCTGCTGTGGCGAGGAACGCTCAAAGTTCAATTATACGATCAATTCAATGTGACTGAATAAGAATTCAATTCTATGAGAACGTGCAAATGAAATGAATCTATTCACCTTGAAAAACGTCATTTATGTGAATGACGAATTAAAATTGTGAAACGACTGATGTTTGCCATGAATTCATGAAAGCACGCTTGAAACAGTGTCTGATCAATCGATTGGATATTGTCTTAGTAAACAAATTTGAAGATCGATCGATGGATGTTGCTTCAATTAGAAAAGGCTGACTAAGAAAGCGTAACGATAAATTAAACCACGCCAAATAAAAACCAATCATAAATCCTTGAATGATCATATAACGTCATGATTGCATTAGTGACGAACAAACGACTAAACATGAGAGCAGTCTTGACAGTCTACAATGTATGTATGAATCACCAACCACTGCTATACATTACATTCCAACAAATTTCATCATTCATTTCCAACACAACAGAACGCTCACTCTTCGGTAAAGCATGATTCAGCAACTGGAGAATAGCACACAAAAATACAACCATACATAATACTTGATCGGTTCAGTGTGATGTGAAATTATCAAAGTGTATTGCAATATAACATAAGTTCCGTTCGAGCATTCGAATTCATATCAGAATCACTTGAGAGTTACAGAATCTAATGAAATGCTATAAGTCGACCTAACTAACAGAAAACAAAAAATCTGATGAAACTAACGCTGATATCCACTTAAAAATTCTCAAACAAACAAAAAAATTACGACGAGTGAATGAAACTTCAGTATTTAGATAAATTTAAACTTAATTTCCACCTCATCTGCTGTATCTCACAATCAACGAAATTTTAAATTAGCAAGCAAAGTTGTGGTGGAGCATGATAAAAGATTAAATAAACATCGACTAATTTTGCTTATAGTTTTCATTATCCCCCCATCACATCATCACCAACAAATGAAACAAAACTCATCAAACACTAGCTTGTTAAAAACCGTTCTGTTCATTTACAACTATAGCACTATGGTAGTCACTGGACATGGACGAATTACTGCGTATTACACAGCCGTAACTGACACTATAGTCACGTGCATTCCTGCAATATTCATTCATACTCACAAATGCATACGATTACACACACACATCACGAACTAGTCATTCTTTCAGTTTTGTTCGTCTCTTGCATCGTTTCGTTGGAGTGCTCTCTTGGAAAGAGTAACGACTGCTTGTTGCTAGCTAGCTGCTCAACAAACAAAGAAAAAGTGCTGTTGGCTGAAATCAATTCTGTGAAGCGATATGTGCTACTGCTACTCTTTGTTAGGCCCTCATTCTACACCAATGTAGATTCTAAAAATCAGTTGTTTTATCGCTTCTGTACTAACAGCAAACGAACACAACAAAAGATGTATTGATTCGTTTCCAACAGATCTGCTGACAGTGAGTTAAAACGATTCACTATGAGTGAATGAACAATCCAGCTAAATGACAAGTTAGCGATTAAGGTGCCAGTTATTATCAAAAGCACGTAGCATGCACGCAGCCACAAATTACAGATAAATCTAATTCAGTTAAAGTTGAACTTGATCCGAGATTAACTGGACAAGTGCTTCGACTTTACGAATGTGAAACAGAGGATTAGGTTTTCTCACGGAATTGTTCACCTTGATATGGGAATAATACAACGGTGCTGATGAGTTATTTGTTGACTGTTCGTGATGATGAAATTCAAGTGAAAAAATCATAAATTTTGGATGCAACAAACAGGAAATAGCAATAATCAACAGGACGATGATTCATAGACGATCATGCACTGCGTTCGTCATCGCCAGTAACCGAATCATCACAGCGATAACCAATCTATCAACTTGATATTCAACGATTCTAGACATTAACGTTATCCGTTAATGACACTGCTAATTTGAAACTGGAAAAATTAACAAAGCTTCTTTGCTGGCGATACTTTTTTCGACTCGTGTTAATTCGTTAAAGGTGTGAAAATTATTCGAGATTATTTTCAAATATCTCATATGGTACCGAAGCGTCAGGCTACGTTCCGTGAAAAAAAAGCGTCGAAATTCCAATGAAATGGGAGCCGGCGATCAAAAAAATTCTGATGAAAAATCACATGATTTAACCGCTGTACGCTTGAAATTAACGATTATTCGACACTTTTTATATGGTGTAACCATTTACCGTTAACGACGTCAACTTTTTAGCTAAGGAATTATCGAATGAAGCGTTATTATTTTGGTTAATGGCGCCTACCTCTGATCGATTCAAGCAGATGATAACGTGGCAAAGCGGGCTAAAAAGCATTCTGTGCAGGAGAATGGGAAATGAATAGAATGAGTGTGTCAAAAAAACAATGCTGCCTTTACTAGTGGCTAAAACTGATTGGAAGAGATAGTTAACTAGACAGATCTATCTGTATAACTTAATCATGAAAACAATTAAATTATGTATCTTTTTTTATGCATTAAACAACACCGATGCGATGAACGAAGATTGATTCAGGTTCAATTTCTTCGCAACACTTTGTTTTAGATCACAAAATGAACAACCATAACAAAGCAACCACCTACTATTGTATGTACAATATGAATAGAGTGAGCCATGTAAATTGTTACATAGTTCATTTCAGCACAACAACATCAAAATGCTTCTCTTCGTTTAATACACATTCATTCAAGATAAGAACCATCACAAAATGAAATACATACACACATGAATAGATAAATAAAATATGAATTATAATTTTATAAATATTATATATATATATATATATTTATTTATTTATTTATTTATTCATATACAATGGAAATAATAGGCACACGACGTGGTGCATAACCGTTTGATAAATGCAATAATCGTTTTAAGAGTTGTTTCTTGTGCCATTCGTAAATGCACTTTCAGCGAGCAACTGACTGAACGAAGAAACAGAGACTGGATCGCAGAGAATGAGATAGACGGGTGAGAGTGCGATGAGCAGAAACGAGTATGGTGCAAATAAGCATGAATACGCGATATAAATCTGGTCGACATTGCGCGATGCGAATGTGTTCGAATGAAAGTAAAAGTTGATAGCAACAATAATTGCATACGCAAAATTGTGCTATGCAAGTTTAAAATTAGCCATGTGCAATTATCAAATAACCAGTCTGAATCTGTTGATGATAACTTTCAAATATTGCGATCCGTGTCCATTCTTCAAAATTTCAAAATGTATCATCTGGTGATAACATACACAAAAATGATCGAACAAATTTGGAAAAAAAAAGATATGTAATTTGAAAAAACAAAAAATTCCGAATGAAATAATAGGCACAAGGATAAGAAACATACGATCAACAAACCACTCGTCAGCGTTATTTTTGAAGTTATCGTTACTGATCGATGACGAAGATGAATGCGGCTGAGTGAAATGTGACGACGAGGTCATCAGCATCTCATCTTTACGCTTCTTTGTTTGTTTTCGACGACGATTTGCGAACCATCGATTAACCTCAATAAAACTCTTTTTGCAACTTAATTTTGTGGTCGATGAAAATGAATCAATAACGGATATTTTCGGATAGAAATGATTCAGTCGATGACGCTTACTTGCAAATAAGACATGCACAACTCTTTTGCAATCTTCTCTTTTTCTTTTCGTCGCGGATAAAAATTATCACCATGCAACGCTATCCACATATCCAATAATTCTGCCTGAACTCTCCATTCATACTCACAAACGAATCAATGAATTCATCACAAATGAACAGCAATATAATAAATACGATTCACCGTCATACAGAATAACGACAAAGCAAAAACCACTGATATTATTGATAGGCAATCTATCAGTTTCGAATTTTAGCTTTATAAACGAACTACAAATTAATCAGCCACCTTGAAAGAATAGATATGTCAAATTTCCCCAGATGGTTCCTAGCCTGGAATCGTTTTTTCTACTCCCCTCCTCCTCCCAACCAATTTCGCTTGAAAAAAATTCTGCACTAAAACCGTGCATAGATGAGGAGATTCGATCACAGGAAAAACAAAAAAAAGTGAACCACATTAAAAATATGGATGAATAGTTGAAGAAACGAACTTGTTGATGAATTTTCGCTTTATCGGATGCATTTATCACATCAGTTAACATAACATTTGTGTCTGGGCTCGCTTTCGTTGACAGACTACCGATTGGGTGCTGATTTGTTGAAATACACGCGGCCATCACTGCACAGATTACTTTAAAAAGATACTACAACTTCAACATTACACACAGCACTTTACGATCAATAACAAAGGCACTAAATGTTGTAATCATCATTTTTGAAAACATATGACAATAGACCTTGTGAAATATTGAAAATTAATATGATACCTACGAAAAAAACAGTCATACATAACACTGACGTTACGTCTACGTACACATAAGTTCATATTTTGAAAACACTTTAAATAGTGAACTGACGAAATGTGATTAAATATGACAATCATAATGATAATAGTAATCATAACAAGGATTAATAATATCAGTAGTAATAATAATAATAGTAATAATAATAATAACAATAATAATAATAATATTATTATTACTATTATTATCATTTTCATTATTCTTATGAAAATAGTAGATATCAAATTTAAAACAGACGATAATAGCATCACAAAATGGAAAAGTGGTGTGGTAAATTGAAGAATGTGAGAATAAAGTGTATTGAAATGAAATAGAATTCAATTGAGAATAAAATAAGTGCATATGCGAGTAGTTGCAAACGAGGGTACGTCTGTTCATCAAGCATACTCACTGCCCTTATCTGATACATTGTAGCACGCACACTCACTTGTCAAACAACGCTGCTCAGTTGACTTCTAATAAAATTGAAGTCGCTCAAGCGATCGCTGCGATTCTTGTTGATGATTAGCACTAAAACGAAGTCGCCTCAAAAACTAGATGAACACATGCACACACAACACACATCACAAATTACAATCCTATAATAATCCTCCGTCAAACCTTTCTTCGATAACTTAAAACTGCACATCAAAAACCAATACATCTGCTGCTCTGTAACATTCCATTACAAAACAACAACGATTCTAACCAAAAAAATGGATATCAACAAACAGAATCAATCTTGCATCAAATTACAACTGATCGTTATTCCATTTCAACAGCATCTTCGAATCACCTAACTTATCAACAATCTCCTCCTTTTCTCATATTTTTTGTCGACCTTTTGAACATTCGTTCGCCATTCAACCCCGCCTTCCTTATCCGTTGCAATACACGATATGTTCAACAAATAATACCATACCCGTTGTTACATGCTTCCGAATCAATATTTCTTCCACCTTCTCATCGTTTCCTTTCTTCGTTTTACATTCGCAATACCCTTCCTTCCTTCTAAGCATCTTCTACGTTCACAAGAAATACATTAACACTACCATTTATTCATAAGTGTCTTGCACAAATGGTTTTGTTAAGAACAATCAACAGATAAGTGACATAACAATATTTCCAACAATTAGTGCTTGTTGTTCAATTTAAAAAAACATCAATAGCAATCCACTTTATACTATTTATAAGTTGAGAATATTTTTTGATTTGAAAAGATGGCATAATATCATGAAATAAACGGAACACGAATAGAATGAAGTAATCAAATAAAACGCAGATGAGAATTGGAATGAATAAGTCGATGATGATCGATCAACTTTAAGTCCAGTAAAATCGAACGCTTGGTCAATGGCGAGGTGCCAGCCAAAAACAAAAGAGACTGCGAAAATCTTTCAATGCTGTGGCACGAGAAATGAATATGCAACACAAGATAAGATAGATAGATGGGTAGCCAAACAATGAAACAGATGAAAAAAGCTTGTTGTTGAAGGTGACTCATCCACCAATATGTTGTGTTCGCTACAAATTTGTACTATCAACGTCATCGCATTTATAATACATAAACAACCGTCTTACTAATGACAAACTAATGAAATACATAAATTACACGGTCAGCGTAGTAATGTGATAAGAAGCTTGGCATAAACAGCTACGAACGGCTAACGGCTACCCTTAAATCTGAACATAAGCTTCAACAGAACAGAATCAAGAAGCGCAATGAAATTAAAGCCAATCTACGTCGCAATAAAATTCAAGTACGAATGATCCACCAGAAGCGCTTACCGCGTGATACAACACTTCACATGTACGAAGCAGGATTGGGCCGAGGAATTGCGAAGGTAGAGTTCAAGGAGGAGCGTCCTTGAGCATCTCGACGCTTCCAGATCCTTTCCTTTACTTTCAAGACTCCCTGAGCATACATCAAGTTTCAAGGACCTCCGACCCGACTTCGGTACAAAACGAAATGTAGTGAAATATCTACGTTTGTGAAACAATACCATGTTCCAGTGAGTTTAAGATACACTAAATAATTCGCGAGATGCAATTCTTCATGGAACGATCTTATTGGCTTTAAGCTTATTGTTCGATGACATGCGCTTTTTCGTTTTCGATTTTACAGGTTTGTTTACGGGCAAGTTTTCAAACGGTAGTTTGCTCTCGGTTTCTTTTTCGAATGACTAATCTGATTTCGTGCACCGCTAAAGAGAAGTCGGGTAGTGCCGTGATCCCAAATGAGAATAAAGGTATTCTACCCCGGCACTCTTACAGGCTGGTGTGATACGAATGTGGTGTACTTGGTGGACAGCATTGTGCGAATCAGAATTCACAAAAATGAAAATTCACTTTCGAAAACAACGTTTTTTCTGCTCAAAAAAATACAACCCATTTTCGTTGACGAAAAACCCTATTTTTTTAAATGATGTGGGGAGGAAAGGTAGATTTGTTTTGTTTGTCAAGAAATTGACTGGTTAAACTACGTAAATTCGATTTCACAACTTTTTCTTCATTTGATAGATGAAATTATTAGAAATTGATATGAATCAACGGTCAATAACACTGACAAATATTACATCTGCGATTTATACAAAAGTACGTAAGACAACTGCTTCGTGATGGGAGAGAGATACGGCAATGAAGTAATTATAGCCATTCATTGCATGGGGATAGCATTCAGAAAAATACACTCACGACAACATTTGTTGCGTGAGCAGTTATTATTCAACATTGTGCAATCATTCATTTCACGCGTTCTCATCACAGTGTATTTTCGAAATCAAAATGTCTGATCCTATTCGTGCCCAGGTGAATGAGAGATTTCTTCATCATTCGAAGAAGAGACACAGAACAAAGAGGTTGTTTGAACTTTATTCGCCAACGTAAAATTACACATATATAAAATTGAAAACGCAACGAATTCTCAGATAAAGAAGAATAAAGAATTGTCGTGTCTGATACTGAAAATTAAGGAAATAGAACGAGAAGAGAAACAAGCTGTATATGAGACTGTTTTAATGGAAAGCAATAAAAAATAGTTGATGTATGTTGCAGCAAGTAAGAATGCACACGAGAACGCAGTTGTATCTTTCTACTTATGAAGACGACCAACTGAGAGAGATCAACTATTGGCACTGATTTAGTGCATCTGCTCACTGCATCAATCTACCTGACGTCCAAAAATTCCATTATTTGCTACGTACTCTGAACGGGCGAGCGCATGCCTCTATTGATGACGCATAACGCTTATTACTCAATGATCATGGCGATACCATGAAACCGCACCCTTGACCAGAAATCACGAACAGATCAGCGTCTCAGATCTATTCTTACTGCGATTGCAAAAACCGCTAAATTAAGAAATACGATAAGTAAAAAATTGATCACATTTGTTGACAAATGAGAAGATGCGAATTAATCAGCATTATTACTGATCGTGCATTACAACTTCTATTCTCATCGAAATATCTGTACAAAATGATGACACAACGCGGTGGATGATGGCTATTTTCTGCACACAACTGTACATATCTCAAAGAAGGCGTCCAGATAACTAGGAACACTCGGCAAACTAATGGCGCAACTTTAAAAAGTTTTTCGCTCGTGACATCAAAAGCAAATTCAGTTGATCCATTCACGCTAGCGTCTGCACAACAGATTCATGGTAAACGTCTCTCTCACGCCTTTCACGCTAACGATGAAGGGCTAAAATTTTGCTAACGAAAGTTCAAAATATGAGATTGCGCTTTATGCAAGCAAACCAAAACCAAACCTTTACGACATCAATCTACGGTTGTGCTTGAATTGTCCAAAAAGATGATTATCAGTGAAGAGTATCAACTTTGCAAAGGAAAATATAATCACGCATTCTTTTCAAGAATAGAACGTTAACTGAACCCATTCCGTAACGGAAGCACAAGTACTAAACTTACCCACGAAGTTGAAGGCTGCAGCAACTACACTATCAACTGGTGATGACTCAATGAGCTTGAAGCGTGAACTTAAGACTACAACGGAAATTATTCTACTCACTGCTGACGCTATCCTACAGAATCACGAATATCCAGACGACAAAGGAGACGCTATCCTATTGAGGCAGCCAGAGATGGTTCGTCACAGACAAATTTCGCATGACAACCGCAACTGAAACTTGACTCTGAACGTATACGGGTGCGCCTCTAAAAGGCCATTTGATACTTACTCATCGCTCGTTGCACTTTGTATTGTTCTGAGGGATAGTCAAACGAACGTTATTAATCTGAAATTCACTCCCCTTCCTCACAGCCGAATTCATTGCGCAATAAAAATATTGAATCTGAAATGCCAATCGACAGCAATAAACAAATTGTTTTGAGTGATCAAATGAATATGTCATCTTAAATTCCTAGCTGAGATGAGTATCATCGGGAATTCACGACTCCCACTGAATCGAAGTGCCTATCTAACGGTCTATATCTGATTTTCCCCACCTCCCCCCTCACCAATCGGTCTCGCCGCAGAAATGTAAAGAGGGTCTAGTTCTGACACGATTTTTCAATTTTCAGAGAACGGAACGAACATCGAGAATGTCGCAGCCGTGAAGAAAGCAATAAATTACCCGAATGACATCAAATAATTTTGTGATAATCGCAATACATGATTGACCGTCATCAAAGCGCTATTGCACTTCAGCTCAGTTCATGAATGTTATCACGTAATAATTGTGATGATCACTTTCGGGAAGGTATCAACGAGTACGTGTCGTATAATGCTTCTGCCGCGGAACCGATTTGAAATTGAACGATATTCTACAATTTGTTGAAACAGGAAACTTTTCGGATATTTCCAATACTACTACAAATTCCAAAACCATATCTGATTTCGGGATCGATCTCAAAATCATCAGTGAAATTTTTGGTTTTCGACAGATTACACTGCTACTTACATGCTTTTGTCTCAGTTTGCAATGTCAAATATTATCTTCTTTGATGTCGCCAACAGCCGAATATGATGTGATTGTCGAATTAGCATCAATCAGTTTTTACTCTATTTTCGATTCATGCAGCTATCGGTTATCATGCAGTTATTTATGGAGAATGGTGATATCCGAAATTCTAATTTGTATTTACTTCCAACTCATATTTATACTAAGTTGTTCACATTAATTCCTCTCATTCATCCTTCAGCAAATATACGTGCCTCCTTGATCTCCCCGCTTGAGAAAACATCGTGACGTCTGGCCGCTCCATAACCCCTCCTTTCGAACTAAGTGGGTGGATGACACCATAAATTCGAGTTCCTGTTGACACACTTAAGAACCACACATATGTTCAGGGTCGTGCCAATCAGGAGTGAATTCTTCAGCGAAACTCTAAATTCTAGTGAGAACTTACTTCCTCACTAAGCTAGATTATTGTTACTTTCATAATTCTTGCGGAGTTTATATCAATTCCACACTGCCTTCTAGATTAGTCACACATGCTTAAGATCCATTATTAATCACCATTTCATTATTATTCATCATCCATCATTATTTATTATCATTTCATCATTAATTACATCATCACAGTAACATTTTTCTCGTAGTGAATATAGTTCAGCTATTACTATTCACTCAACAAAATAAACTCCTCAACACGTCATCCTTACTGCTACAGTTCTCACATTCATTCACTTGATACAATGATTTAACACATTACGAAAAAAATCTTAGTTTCAACTTCAGTACAAATTTCTATTAGAAGGCTATAGAATAAAATGAAATGAAACGATTATAATACATCGAACAAATTCAATGCTGCCGTTTTGCAGTGTAATGTTTGATGGATACGTATTACAACGTTCAGTTCAAAACCGCTACACAGACTTCAAAAACAAGTTCATTTGTGAGTGTTCGTAACTATCTAACAAGTTCGATAGCCTATCAATTATCTTTTCAAAAAAAAAACTCCAATTAAAAAAACAACAACAACAGTTTCATTATAAAGCGATAAGGATGGAAAGACAGACACAGCATAAAGCAATACTCGACAATGATCAGAACTAAATGATACAGAAGTAGGAAGAATATCAGAATTCAAAGATCGTTGATTGAGCGAACAATCGAACAAGCCTTCTTAATCGCCAAATATTGCCATTCGGTTGGATGAACTTGCTCCGAATGGGCAGCTTTTCGGTTTTTGTGAACGATTTGTTGCAAGTGTTGATCGCATTTTTGCAACAAATCAACATCGCAAACATACGGTGATGATTCAGTCATCTGAATAAACGACATAGAAGAAGGAAAGTTATTCAGCTGATCACATTTAGGAATTGAATGAACTCAAGCAAACCGTCCAGCTATTACCTAAAGGCCATGATTGTTCAAACTGATTTATCAAATTGTCTCATATTCGAAATTGATTCACTTCTTTTTTTCCAAAAACAGTGAGTAGAAGTGATGCGTTCAATTAAAACTTCATTATCACTGCTAGCCAAAGCAAACGTCAGTCAGAGTCATATGACGGTTACAAAAAGAAAACACAACCAACGAAGTCGTATTTAGTAATGAAAAATCATTCTACATTTATTCCTTAAAAGAATGAATGAATCAACCAACAAAAATAAAACTCTAACGAGGAGTTACATGGAATCCTTCATCGTAAATTTCATAATCTTATTAAAACAGACTCCATCCTATGAGCTGGATTCATTTGACGAAAGAAGAATATGGCAATATTAAAATAAATGTATGTTCATTACAGCGACAGGGAATGAAGTAAAATACAACTAGAACGCATGAGTAAGAATTTAGTAATGAACAAATTTTCAGTCACATGATGACTACAACAAAAGTAAAAGAAAATATCAGAGATCGTAAAAAAAGAAATTTTTAAACTGAGTGATAAGAAAGCTGAACGTAACGAGCACAAGAGAAGAAAAACACCATCATGAGTTGGGAGAATGATCGTGCGATGAGAGAAACCAACTCTTATCTAATGGCAGCTTATCATTATCATATTAATCAAGCAATCTAATGAATGCGACTGTCGGAGAGATAATTCATGTTGGCCAGACTAATTCATCTGACCTGGAGGAACGAAGGCTTCCGAAAGAAGCATTAAAAATATTGCGATTTTAAACAGAAAAATTTTCGGCTTCCTGCAAAACTAAGACTGAAACAGTCACACTATGTAGAAAAACTCAAATTTTCAAAAATCTTTTCAACAAAATCTAATAACTCAGATTGAAATGATGGCGCAAACCACACACGATGCTATTCCATAAACACTATGAAAGATTGATGCTAAAAATTCGTCAAGAACATGAATGAATAAACAGATTATACCTTGCAATTAAGCAGCTTAATTAGAATCCCACTTGAACATAGTTTAAATTTATTACATGATGTTGTGAAGTATGAGTTTTTTTTGTTACTAAATGCGTGGACTCAATATCTTGCTGAAGATGCAGAACTAAGATGAATGAGGTAGATGAGATAGACAGATATATAATACAATGATTTCATTTTGATATCGTGCTTATTGTTGTGATTGGAGGCTTTATTGAAAGAATACTAGGAGAGTTATCAAAATTTCCGAAAAGATATGATCAAAAGATGAAGTAATCAAAAGGATTGACCATATATGTGTAAAAAGATAAGTAATGATTGGTAAGAAAGGCAACGAATATGGACTGACAGTTGAAATGGACAGTGAACGATAATAAATGAATGATCAAGGCGAGCAGCCAAATCAAATAAATGCCGTAACAAAAAAACATACGTAAATTGCAAGCTGCCTCCATGCTGTCCACTCGAGAGCATCAAATCTGTGAGCATTGTCTGTCCGTAACTTCTGCTCAGTCATTCTTGAAAGTGCTTCTGCTCGTAAATAATCACTCACAAAAACGATCACATAATCAACCAAATTGATGTTTTCACTTTCAGACGTGACCATATCCATTAAAAAAATACTCCACCACCGTTTATCAGATACTCTTCGTTTATCGTCCATGCTTGCATGCTTCTAGCAATTAATATCATCAATCTTACCATTGAATCAAATTGTGAACAAAGTGAATTCACATCAAGTGATAGTCCATCCCCAACAATATTATTACTTTTTTCTGTTTAGGATCGAACCAATTCAATTTGGCCTACAGTCGGACTGTACAAGCAAACAGAAGAGCCATCATCACTTCAAGAAAGTACCCACATTGAAAATGAAACTATTGGCGGTGGTTGATTGTCGATATGGCGAATTTGGCTTGAATGGAATATACTGTATTTGTGAACCAGACGAGAAGATAGATTTATTGGTGTTACTGAAGTATCGATCATAAACGATGCCAGCAATTGATGAACTGATTCGTGACTGGTGTTTTGCTGATACGACAACAATACGCTGATTCAGTACACATTTTGATATGCCACTTATAAAAAGCAGTAGAACTAAGCAATATACTGCGCATAACACCTGGAACGGATAACATAATCTTTTTTGATACAGTCACGTTGATAATCAGACACAGTTCTGTATTGTGACGATGATAATATTCGTTCACCTAACACCAAATGCAATGCAAAAACTCATAGAATAAAAATGAACTGAATTAGTTTACGAGATATGTTTTGCGTGTGAAACGTCTTGAATTGACAGACACTGAACGGGCGCCACGATTGCCAAATAGTGTCGCAAAGAGTGCGGCGAGCAAAAGGGTACGGAAAATAGACATTTTGAAGATGACAATCTAAAATAAAGAGTAGCTTATTGATAATCAAACGATGTGGTATATGATACAGAGAGGATCTGATTCGATATTCCAACAAAGACAGCAACACAGTTGCATAACTGAACGAATGACTAAAATGTTATAAATAAAATATAGGATTTCACTACAGATCAAACTGGAATAAACGACAGCTGAAGATTGAACAATAATAAATGGACCGTTCATCCGTCGTCAGCAGATAACGATACCAAAGATGTTTGTTTGTTACTTTGTGTGAACGAAAAATAAGAATATGTAGAATGAAAATATTGAAAATTAACATACAAAAAGAAAGCAAGTACAGAAAGATGCAATCCATATCAGCAACAAACTTCTACGTTGATGCCGCGAATTACCAACAACGAAAACACCTGTTAAAGGTAAAGGATTACATCAATATATCAACCCAGAGAACGTGCAAAACAAAGACGCTACCGCACCTTTCGCAACGCCAATAGCGATGATGATTGAGAGTAGAATGGGTCGACGCTGAATACTGAATGTAAACAGCATAGTCAAACCATATATCAAACCCATCCAATAACCGAAAAGAAACTGTGCAATGAAACGTTTAATCGAAGATGAAGCGAATTTCTCACTCGAGATCATCTCCCTTGTAGCTCGCGATGAAGATCTGTAGCATTCATTTTTATACGAGCATTGCTTTTCAACGCGACATATTACCAATAAGCAGCAGCATTTTATAATGAAGCTAAGGATAAAACTAATAACAGCTGAAGGATCAATGACATAAATATAATAATAACAAAATGACAGTATTAATAATAAACTATTGAAGACGTATATAAAGGAAATCATTCACAGTTAATGAATCAATGCCAATGTTATTAATGTCATTATAAGACCATCCAAAAAGACTGGAAAAGGATACCGAAATTATATCTGAAAATAAACGAAAAAATCTATCTCTAAAAAACTGACCGTTTGATACGTGCGTTCTGTCGTTCAACAATACTGTGAATGGCAAAAATATCGTAAAAGATTCCGAACAGAAAAATGCCACCCGTAGCAAAATAAACGAATGCTTCAAGTGGTTCATCCAGGTACAAACGATGAAGACCCAATTGACCGCCGAGCATAAGCCACGTCCGCGCACGTAGAGCATTGTAATACGTCAACGAACCACCAACAGACATTCTTATTTCACATCGAGAATCATTTCACTTCCATTACTTAACAATCAGTCTTGTAAACTCTTTACATTTCCTAAAAATCACAACCAATCTCTTACTTCAGGCTCGTTTCTTCAATGCCTAACATATTCGAATGACCTAACTGGACATTTGTACAGGCTACACCAACATCACTTGATTGAATGGCTAGCATCCACCTCCAATCCTACTGTCCTATTTGCCAATGAGCAATTTCAAAAGTTGAGTTTTTCGAACCAGTTAACATTGCAACTGTTTCAGTCAGCTCAATACACCTATTGTGTGTCGAATCTATTTGCCATCACTAAGTTTACTGTCACCAGTATAATACAGAGTTGACCAAACTCAGACGTTAATTTTCGACTGAAATGCAGCTCGATTCCAACCGGAACCGAACTCCACACGAATCAAGTATGCATACCAGTCAATTTGTCGTTCGTTTACTAGCACTAGTTTATATCTCCTTCATGTTTGATCAATTACTTGGTGGTGAAAAGCACCATACCTTCTCAAAAAATATAATCACGAACCCCTTCTCATATGAATCAAGTATTCGTCACTATAAAACTGTTAAAATACTACACTAGTCCACAGCTCCGACACATAAACACGTACACTCCTCACGGATAACTCAAACTGCACAATAAAACCTCTGAAATGAATGCCCAATTTCCATAAAAAAAGAAAAATTCTTTTTTTTTNTTTTTTTTTGAAAGAACATGCAACAAATAAACATTTCAGAATTATGCATTGAACACAAGCAGATCATGCTCAATCGAAAGCGAACTCAAATGGAACTGGAATGGAATTATTTGCAAAAAGAATTTATTCAATATCCATCTGAACGAACGAAGTTCGATCTTTTCATAAAATCACTGAAACAACAAATTGACCATTACCATTATCACGTTACCAAACCATTACCATTATCACGATCAAATTTGTTTCACAAACGACGAAGAAAATTCACAAATAAACGAAGTGCCGCCGATCATCATACCAACCAACACAAATCCAAATATTTAAAAGTCATGTGACTTTCGAAAAATTATGATTATAGAGATATATATTTGAGACAAAGGAAACTTTTGTCAATTATCACTGTTTTCTGATATGTTTGCTCACATGATGATCCTATTCAAGCAGAAAATGACTGATTGATAAAATTCGTACTCCACAACAATTATCATCCGCTCAAACAACAGTCATACCAGAATAAGAATAAACGTACAGAATCAACTGAAAGCCGCTTTAAAGACTAATATTGGCAACACAATTCTTAACGGATTGACATATTACCCATTTGAGACTATCAGTTTGGACGTTCTTTAAGTTGCAGATAAACTGCATTATGAAATGATGGAATGAAATCAAAAGAACACTTTCTTTAAGGACAAAGAAATGAGACAAAAACTTTTTCTGGATGAACAAACAGAAATGAACACAAAAATAGAGATGAATCGCAGAAAAGAGAATCGAGAGAGGCGCAGAGCAATACCATTTGTTCTCAACAATTACCAATTGAATACTTCGGATTCAGATGCTGGCAAAATGACATCAGTAACAACATTATCATCATCACTATTATCACTGCTATCACAAAAACGAATGATTTCACAAATGAAGGATGATTCAAACCAAATAATCAAAGAAAATGAAATTGATTGGACGAATAAACAAACAGAACCGGAAAAGGGAAATAATGAGACTTTTACATCAGTGACACTGGTACACCATTCGTTTTCGAGCAAAACTTTTCTCCACTAAGAAGAAGTTTTACTCGAAACCGAATGGTGTAACAATATCATTGATATTACCAGGCTATGACTTGGCTTGCATCTAATTATTCATTCATGAGAATATTAGTTCGAGGTGCTCGACGAGTATGCTATAATCGTTTTTGACGAACGTTATTAAAACTGAAGCAGTTCACATCTAGTCAAATGAAAAATGCGTGACCCTTAAATGGAAACAAATGACTGAATGGAATCGAAGAAAACGTCAAAGTGAAATGAACACTCGATCGAAACAAAGCAGCTCTGAATTTATGAGATGCATTATCGTAAACGTTTCATACATATGCCTCTGAATAAATTCGTTCAACAAACAAATTATTCGGTCAATCTAATCGCTGATCAGAACGAATTTCAATCAGTTGAATCATATCATAATCAATCAATTTTCACTGCACCATAAATTCTGCAAACAAATGAATAAGCCGCATAAAAACCAATCGTTCCGGTTAGCAACCAAAATGTTAGTGCCATCAGAAAACTGTAACTGAAGTAGAGCAGTGTTGGGATGAATCCGATGATGTTTAGCTGCAAATTGTAGCTCGTTGTTATTATTGTGCTTATTATTTTTAAATCATATTATTATTATTGCTAAGAGTATTAAATTCAATAAAATTTGCATATTCATTCATGTATTAATGAAAATCGACAAACGCGTGAATAAAAGAAAATAAAAATTCAATTAAGGGATACCTTTGTGAAGTAATAGAACGTTGCATAAGCCATTACTGCAAAGTAAATAAATGAATGAATATAATTAGCTGCTTACAAAGGAAATTTTCATGCCCCGATTTCGTCAATCCAAATAAAAACTCGCTTGCAATTGGAATGAAATTTATGCTTATCAATTATTCTTTGACGGTTTTCAGTGCACAGTTTTGAATTGATAACAATCTCAAGTTAGCAATTTTTATCCACAATCGACAAGAACAACCAACTACCAATAATGCCAGACTAAATTTAATGTCGGGCAAAATGGATATTATCTGTGATAAACAAACGTTACATCACAGTAAACAATCACTAACCATAAATGGCCGAACCACCACTGATCGTAAACGATTTCCACCACCAATGATAATTCTGAAATCAGAATATGCTTTGGTGAAATTACTTGCTAGATTAATACAAACACTATCAATTTTATAAAAATTTCAAGAACAGTAAGACTAACGGTCAGTATCACTGACTAATAAATAAGAAGTAATTTATTCAAAAGGCTAAAAATCATATACACGAGAATATGAAAGTTCAAACAAACCTCAGCACAGAGTAAGAAATACGCAACAACAATTGAGATCTGTGCACACGAAACGTACAAAATAACGCAAACGATGAAAAGAAATCCAAAAAGGTAATAGAACTGATTCTCCCAGATAGCCTTCAATGAAATTATTCAATTAGATATATGATTAAAGCTGATAATCGATGAGTATTTTATCAAAAACAAATTGAAATGAAAGCTGGAACACGATTTGAAAATAGACATGACAGAAGTCATACAAGCAGAAGAAGTACTGAAACAACAAGAAATTAAAAAATGGAGTCATAGAACTTAATTAAAATCTCCTTCAAACAATTAATGAGCATTCCTGATATGCGCAGTACTTGAAATATTCACTAATTTAAGTGAATTGGTCATAAAATCATTATTTTATAATGTTCAGAGCAAAAAATAGATTTAACAGAAACGCGTTCGCTCAAAATTGATAGTAATAAACTGACCGAAAAGATGAAGAAAAGCTCAATGAAGACAGCCCCAAAAGGAAGAATTCCAGCCAAAAGCATACACGGAAAAGTGTGCAAATACCATGGTTGATCTGGTACTTGACGAGGAATTTGATTTGTACGCACTGGGTGCGAATACATCTGCAACAATAATTGCAACACCTTAAGAACAACTGAAAGTGCAATGGGACAATATCGTAACAAAAATATATAACATGGGTAATCATAACACCGAACCAAAGTTGTGAATGGTAAATAAACAAAAGAAAAAGGAAACCAACCTGCTTGCGATAACCAAAATGAAAGCCAACAAAAACGAGCGGCAGATCAATACCGAACCAAAGCAATAACAATGCAATCATCGTCGTAAACGGTACCGCACCAGATGAGTGCTTGCCAATCAAGAAGAAATTCAGAACAAATCCTACGCCAAGTACAACCGATGGGAACAACAGTGCTGTTTGTACAGCACAACGTTTCGGTTGATTACCTTAATAATGGATCAGTGAATACTTTCATTATTTCATTTTTTATTCACTCATTAACAGCGACTATATTATGGAAAGTAATAACAGTGACAACTGAATTCATAAATCCTTCCACATAAATAACTCATGAGAATACAGACCTTTCAATGTTTTATAAAGACGTCCCGCATGATATCCAGCGATCAGCCCCATGAAACAATACAAGAATATTGCAGCTGACATCAGCGATCCACGACTCGCAGGTGATAGCATACCGAGCATTGCGAAGAAGACAGTTATTGCTACCATACCTACCAGCTGAATACCTGTACCGATAAAATTCACCAACAACATCGCGTTCGGCGGCGGACGAAACACATCGCCATGAACCAATTTCCATCCTGTTTCTTCCAATGTATCATCCTCAACACCATTAATATTACTATCGAAAATTCTTTTCTCCTTTTGCTTCTCAAGACATTTCAGAGCACACAGACTTGGTTGTATTCTCGATTTGCTCTTTAAGAAATCAGTTATAAACAGTGCAGAAGTACCAATACTTCTTAGATATGAATATCAATAGAGTGGAACTTCAAAATTCTTGGCATGCTTCGATTTACATTCATTATTCGGCTCATGATGCTTCTAGACCAAACACACGCAGTTTTTCACGAGGGTGAAAGAATTTTTTGATGATAGAATGTTGATAAGTTTTTAGCAGTGTTCAACTTAGTGGACGGCACTTCTGAAGTAATTCAATCATTTTTGCAGTTTAACCCGTTTTGTTTCGTAATTTTTGCCACTTGAAGTAATGCTTTTTCACTCCGCAAATTGTGTTCGTGAAAGAGTATGCAAAGAAAGAATTTCATTGATACGGAAGTTGGGATTAGAAGTAGTCGACGAGCAGGTTTCATCAGAGTTCTTAGCGTGAGAAGAAACTAATAAACAACAACAACTTCTACAAATAAAGACCGACTATGAGGCAATCTCACAAAATACACTTCCAAAAATTATAATTAAAACGATTCTGATTCTTCTCGAGCATCTTCTGAAATCTGTGAACATTCTAGAAGTTTTCATTATTCGGCACTTTAAATGAAATTTTACACAGCTGAAAACTGTCAATTCATTTCCGTGCGGACGAATATGTCCACCACAATTTACAATCCATTGCTAACTCTATTGCTCATACCGACCAATAAATAAATAGTAACAACAACAACTAACTGCTTCTTCATCTTTGTTGTATTGCGCAATATCACGACGAACTGTACGAACAATTATCATGCTCAGGAAACCTTGAAGAACATGAATGATACCAACGCACATACACTACTATACAATCTTTTTACAGAACCAATAGTGTCAAAAATTAGCTGATGTCAAATTATTACTAACAAAGAGTACAAATTACCATTAAATTTTTACGCAAAATGAATTCTAAACTAATGACGCTGATGAGAAGGCGAAAACGAACCAGAAAGACAAACAATGACGATAATTGAATTCAAAATCGAGAACCAATGTATTTGTACATCCTTCATCGACAAATACGTATCCCAGCGACTCGCCCACGGCACATCACTTTCTTTCCAGTGTACGGAATATGTCCAGGCCACTAGATTCTGACCTTTCTTCACTTCCTGGTGTTCAGCTGTTTCTGTCACTGAACAACCCTTAAAAATGTAATCAAATGCATTAGACCGTGAAATACAACAGAACGTTTAGCAGTAAAAAAGAATTTACAGGTTTCTTGGTCGTTTTTCAAAGCATAAAATAAACCATGTAGTGGCACTAATAAAGTCATAAACTAATAGCAACTATAACCTAAAAACACTGCTGAATGAAATAAAAGCCACTCTTGAAACGAACTAAAACCATTCTGCGCAAAGTGTAATAAGCGAAGAAACGGCCATATTAATAATTGATAATTGACAGGTAGGATGCAATAAGTGGAACAGGCTTACTCCTTCAGCGAATTTGAATGCGCTACTATCAATACTTTTCGGTTGTACATCAAATCCAACCACTCGGTATATATCAGGTGCAGGCTGATGATAGCTGAGTATGATATCAAGATGATTATTCACAAAATAACGACCATTATCGACCCATCCCAACCGATAACCATGCTCGTGCATTATCTCACCACTCTGTTCCACTTCAAATTTTGTCACGCAAGGCAAGTTGTCGACCAAGCTATAATATAAACATAATATTTTTTCACACCCTTATCACCTTCTCAACTACAACGATTGTATATCCCGCATCCATACACAAAGTTGGGCACATTAAGCAAAACTATACTCAAAATTTGATGCAATTTCGCTACAACTTTCTGATTCGTTTAACACCAACTATAATTTTGATATCAACTGCTGCATATTACTATATGTATACGTGAGCAATTACGTAGCGTGTATTAGAAATGCGACGGTAACTTCTCGGAAGAAAATAATTGATGTGAGAAAAAGAACAGAGAATTGAGAAAACTGACAGATGTACGTGATATTCTTCTCGAATTCTTTTCGCTAAAATCACTGATTCTTCTTCAGTAATCGTTAGCTTTGGATGAAGGGCACACGTTGAATTGCATTCAAGATCTTTTCGCATAAACACCTTGAAATTGTACAGATTATTAATTGGATGATTACTGACCGCATTAGACTCATCACACTGACAACCACTAGATGATTTGAATTTGAAAATTTTCCAAAAATTAACGTTAATAATCCTAAATCTAAATGAGACATAATAATCATAAGTCTAAATGGAACAGCAACAATAATTTCCAAATATGGGAACAGCCACCAACAATCCACTCATATTTCAAGAAAACTCAGAACTTTTTTGAATATATCAATCAATGCAGATTGTGAAGACACTTTTATTGATCAGTCTTAATGTTCTTTTTTCATTCAAGAATTACAAACGAAAACTGAACAGAATAATTAGTAAACTATGAGAAAAAAACAATGTTTAGAAGACTAAAATAACCTGGAAAGGAGTGTTAACGATTCGATCGCCACGCATCACCTCACCAAGATTTTCGGATTTATAATGAATTTCACCAACTGGTTTGCAGAATGGTAAAGAATAATATTCATATGGGACAACTGTCTTCGTTGAAGTTATTTTTATTGCCTAAAACAGTATTATTGAAGAGACAATTTCGAATCGAACCAATTCGACTAAAGTTTAAAGAAGCAATCACAAGATATCGTTCATTCAAAAACTAGCAAGCAGTGACTTATAACTTAACGAACCTTCACTTCTATTGGATCACCAACTCGAAATTCAACTGGTGCAACCCCTGGCACGTAAAAGCTGTATTTGAGTGGTACAAACCCTTGTATAAGCAAAATGATGATAAGCCAACGCGTCATTTGACTAGATTGTTATGAATATTGATCGCCAGCAAATGAGCACCTTCTCGATTTTAAGATTTTATCATCAACTTCACCTCGCCACAATGCTAAACTGCTTCATCGTTAGATAAAATATCACTGGCGAACGGCTCTCGCCCCATAAATCTCGTGAGCGTAAAATTCAACTAATTATTCATTTATTTATTAGTTTCAAATATTGAAACAAAAATTTAATGCTCTAATCAAATAGTGTTGATGCTCTAACCAAATAGAAATGATACTTAAGAAATTTTCTCTTAATTTTATAAGTTTTTCTAACCGCACAGAGTACCTCATATTCGATAGGAGTAAATCGTAAAAATTAGAATCGTGCAAAAGATTTAAATAACTAATAATAAGGATTATCTCAATTAAACATATCGTACTCAATCAGCAGTCAATTACTCTGACTCGAGCACTGTTATTCTAATGAAATATTAACCGAATACTAACGCGTCACAAAATCCAACACCGCCAACACATTACAACTTATTGCAATAGAATTTTGAAGTTAGCCGTTCTACCGTGCCCACTCGCCAATAACGACTGCAATTTGACGAAACGAGAGAGAAAATACACTTGACGATCACCGTCTCTTATTGCCACACAAGCGAATGATAAAATATTGTTTAATAAGGTTGCCTGACCAGGGCCACCGAGATGGAGCAGGATTTGTGGCGTTAAAACTTGCTGGGCCAGGTCAAGGTTTATCGGGTTAAGAACAAAAGTTTGTGAATGTTCTCACAATAAACAGTATGTTTTCAAATTCAGGTTTTGGTAATTGACTCCGTCTAATCGTAAAATTACAATAAAAAGTCTGACCCTTGACCGCCTGAGGAGAAATGGCGATTTTTTTTGAGATTCTCGAACTGTATATGAGCGTACGATCTCGAAAATTGCTATTACATTCAATACAGTACGAGTAGATAATTTTTGGGGATTTACTGCAGTACATATTACATTTACTCTTTGGAAAGCGGCGGCCCAGTGCAATTAGGTACATTTATCTTTTTCGAAGGTTCACTGTATGTGCCACTTTTCTTGGAAGAAAGTACAGTACAGAATTTTACCAAAAAAGTGTGCAGTGTTATCACTTGTGCGCATCTGCTCATGACGCAACGAACGCCACTTTCATTAGTGGAACACAACGTTAAAAATTTCAACCATCGAGAAACATGTTATGTAAAAGTTCGCAGAGTTATCGTTGGAGAGCTCGTCCCCTTCCATTGGGAATAATTTGATGAGAGAGGGGCGGGTTGGGGGNGAAAAAGTCGAGAAGCAAACTAGTCTGAAAAAGGGAAGCCTCGAGGAGAATGATTCATCCGGACGAAGAGGTTCGAAAGGAAAACTTTCGAAAAGTAGTTCCCGGACGAGTGCTCCGTTCTCCGACGAATACTATGTGATATGACTTGAACGACATCCCTTAGTGGTTTGAATTACACTCGCTCTCATTCAATGATTATACAGTAAGCACAGTCACTGATAAGCAAACTGCGTTGTTATTCATGATCAACAACACTTGCTACGATAAGCGAATATCGAGTGATGAGTAAAATCTCAACTGTATCCCATCAATAGGAGTTTTAATGTCGTCATTAATCAGATTCGATAGAATGAATAAAAATCATGAAAATTTAGAAAAGCAGATTAGACTAAACGAACACGACAGTGTTTCCACACAGTATGATGAAACAGAAAAACAATCGTTGAATGTTCAATTTATAAATATTTTTATCAAGATGCTGCATAAATAATGATAATGCAAGAACGAATCGATCATCGAACATCTGTTTAAGAATCATCAAAATGAAATCAAACAAAATAAAACAACAATTATTCATATGGAATTTTATCAATGGAATGTGTATTTGTCATAACTTGTTGTGCGTTACTGCTATGCAAATCGATATCCGTGAACGGAGTTGTTGTTGTGTACGGATTAGTCGGCAGATAACCGAAACAGAATGGTGGTGGTGGTGGTGCTGCTTTCACCGTCTGAAATCATTAATTTTAAGTTCCAGTTTTCATCACACTTCCAAAGTTGCAAACTTAACAAACAAGTCAACCGCTGCGTCAAAGTTTGTCATTCAATACCTGCCCCTCTATTTCGAACTTCAAAATTTTCGATTAGCGAATTAACTGAGATTATAACTCGCAGTTACTTATAGAATTATGATCAGCATAATTCCAGTGAAATCGAACCAAGCTTGAATGACTATCATCATATAACTATAAGTGAAAGATGCAAAGATACATTTGAAAATTTGACATTCATTTGAATTAAAATGTTGGATCACTCCACTGCATACTGGATGCAATTCATAACATTAAACATAAATTTTCAATTTGAAGCTTTCAATCCATATGCGAACCGTTATCTTCTTAAAAGCCATTGAAATGTTAAGTTTCATTTCATTCACACTAACGATGAGTTGATGATCTACCAATAAAAGTATTTAGCATTCCTCAATGATTCCAGCAGTAAGGAAATAAATAATATGTATCATTAGCAGTAATAACAAAGATGAGTAAGTTACCATATCAGCTGGTTGAAAGTTGTTCGATTGTGATGCGAAAGGATGCATAAAACCGGAAAATTCATCAGGATTTGCAGTCATCCAAGTCCATGAATGAAGTCCACTAGACGTGGTCTGACGAACGGGTGGTAAGTCTGCAATCGCACTGCTCTCAGCTTTATCTTGTCTCCTCCATTTCGCTCTCCTGTTTTGAAACCATACCTTCAATCAACCACACACTGCTGCATCAAATTCGTCAACGATTTATTTCATCATTAAGAATTTGGTTGAATCAAAAAGTAGACAAGTTTGAATAAGTATTGAAGTAGCAGTATTATTATTACGGTAGCATTACCGCATTATTAACTTTATTGCTATCATTTACTTTTATTATCCTTATTACTGATATTTTTTAAGGACTATTAACCTGCATCATTATTTTCATCATTAACAGAATACTTTCAAAAGCCGGAATAGTAAAACAAATGAAGGAATAAGCCATAATCGAAATTAACTATGAAGATCAGTTAATGAAAGCTAATTGATATAAACAAGCACAATTAAAGAGGCGTATTTATGTGAGTACATATCACATCAAACCAACACATAAATTATACATTGTTTCATGAAATTTGAGAATTAAATCTTATAATTAGCTCACTGATCGTCATGCATTTAGATGGACGAACAAATCTTTCCTCAATAATCCCATAACTGATAATCATAACAACAATGAAATCTCTACATCAAGGTCAATTCAATTAGTGAGTACTAAACACTCAACTGCTAATAATCATATACCTAAATCAAAACATCAATCTCAACTACAGTAGTATGTGACAACACAAATAAGCACTAACACATCATTACATCACACTTCATTTCTTCGAAATGTCGCTGTCTATTTAAGTATGTATGTAAGTGCTATCTCCATCACTAATACCCTTCAATTACCGTATAACAACGAACATTCAGTTGATCGACTGCCACGCCTTATTACATCAAAAAATATTTATGTGTACGATTAATTTATTGTTTTTGATTATTAATTTGCTCAATCATTGGACAATGTGCAAAAATGGTGCGAAGAATTAAAATAAAATGCCAATGCTCGTGTACCGCATTGAATTTCCTCCAATTTTTTTTTTGCTGTTCAAATTTAAATCACTCAAACAAACGGCTCAAAAGATTTGTAAAATTACGAAGAACTGATCGAATCTTATCATACATAATTAAAGGAAAATAAGCACGAGTTCCAGCAATTTTGACCGCTCAGCAATTTTTGTTTTCTTATACCCATCTATTTATAAACAATGCTAAAGAAATTTACTCACATGATAAGTTTCAAACACATGAGCAAATGAGGTTCGTGAATCTTCTGAGATGACCACTCCAGCAATCAGGATTCAAACGAATAAAAATGAAACAAACACAACTAAATGATTAAAGCTGAATCTGCATTCGAGCATTTGTCACATTTAGAAACTCAACATGCCTACAGTATCCACTTGATTAAGAAATCATTGATTAAATAATATGCAGATAATAAGTATATAAATAGATTCGTGATAGATTAGCATACTAAGCACTCATTCATAAAACGTACATGTTGGATGATACCTGTTTAAAAGGCAAAAATTAGATCAAGGAATAAGAGTTGCATAGGATAAAATGAACTAAAACTGTAAACTTGATGATGTGAGCAAATGAATTATGAATAGGTGAATGAACAAAGGTGTAAAAGGTGACAGTGTATTAACGAGGCGCATTACAAGATATAATCGAACGAGAGAAAAGAGCGCAGAAATGCATAATGTTAATTCTATAAAATGAAATACTACTACATGCAAAAACATTGCGCATTCATTCATTCGTCTCTTGATTGTTATATTCGACGTTATCTGTCTTGATCGGATTTGGCACGTTCCATTAGCACTCAACATAATACTTAATCTCTCCTAACTTAACGCATCACCCACTCGCATCTCACTGCTAAACGATGAACACTTTATGGTAAACAGATAGATATTCTTTTATGGCAGGCAACATCCAACATCATGTTGGCATATTTCAGACAATTGGACAGATAAATGCTGAAAAAAGAAACACTTCTTCGCAAACAATTGCATTTTTTTGACACGATAATCGTTCATTGTGCGACCATCAAATTGCACAAACGATGCAAACATTCCACTAAAGACTAATGCAATGCATTATTAAAATATCTTGAGAGCAGGATAAACTGATTTCTACGTTCTTATGGTTTTGTGATAATACATCAGCAATGTGGCAATAGATAAGAGCTGTCCAAAAAGTTACGATACAACACATAATGTCTGATACAAAAGATTCTTAGCGAAAATATTCATAGTTCACCAACTTACTTGAACACGTACTTCAGGCAATTTCACTTTCTGCGCCAACAACTGAAAAAAAAATTTCAAAAAGTTTTCCATAAGTCTTCATAAAATTCAACTTATTTACAATGCAACAAAATTACTTCTCTATCACATTGAAGCAACAAGTAATTTGATTTCATACAAATCCGTAGTTTATGATTTCATACAAATACATTTATGACAACAAATAATATCAATTATTTTGAAGTTAATGAGGAGCGGAAAATGATTTTTTCGTATTCTGTGGGAAAATTGTAATAGAACTTAAAATATGAACTGTGTAAAATAAGTCTCACTTCTCTGGCATAAACATCTGGATAATGACACTTTTCAAATGCTTGTTCTAATTCGTGTAGTTGAAACGTTGTGAAAGTGGTTCGATTTCGACGTTGTTTCTTCGAGTCTCTGAATTGTGCACAAATAAAACTTAAGATATTCCGAACACCAATTGTAAACCATTTTGCTGCGAATGGAACAGAGAATTATGGACAAAATAATAAAGGTGTTTTTTTCTGAAGAAGAATGGTTATTCTCAGGAACAAACTGAGCAACTATCATCAATGACAGATTTCAAACCAACCTTTCACGTCTTCTAGTTGATTCAGTTTGGACCTGGGATATTGAATGTGAAATAATTTCTGGTATCTTGACATGTGAATCAGATAAGTCTATAAATGTTAAAGTGAATCTATTTGTTTGCTTATTTATCTGACTGTGCATAGCAAACAATTTAATAAATAGTGAATAACACAGCATTCACGCTTTTATTCACTTATTCGATCAATTTCTATTAATGATATAATCAAATTGTTGCACAATTTTAGAGCTGAATTCATTCTGAATATCCTTGACAGTGTTGTGCTAAAAGAATGCATTTATTGCCATTCACAAAGCACAACCTTAATATATATTCATATAAATGAATGCTATATCAGTATATTAAGATAACAATGTGAATAATAATGTTTCTGATTGAATACACTAACTAAAATCATAAGCATTACCATTCGACTGAATAAGTGAAGTAATAGAACGATGCATTGGAACAACAATATTAGCCACCTCTTCCATCGCTCCAATCAGATGAACACTAAAAAGGCAGTTTCTATAAAATAGCACTGATTGATAGATCGAAAAGAGAGTATTATAGGATTACGGTATTACTAGAAAGAGGCGGGGCTTAAGGACGAATGAAAGAGATGTTGCGTAGCAAAACAATGATTGGTTAGTCGTTTGTGAAGAAATATGTTTACGGAGAATTCTTAATTGAATTAGACATAATTGAATAATAATAAGGATTAAATTTTTAATTATGAATAAATATGTTGACATTAGAAATGAAATAATGGAGTGAAAAATGGATTGCGAATTTAATAAATTATGAATGCGACTCTCCATAATGCCATCAAATTTTATTATTGACAGCAGACGTTTGATCAATTTGAATAACGGATTGTTGAGCTCAGATTGTTTCTTGACAGAATTACAACTTTATATATATATATATATATATATATATATATTTATATATATTTATATATTTATATATACTTCAATTATTGTTATTACTTACTTCAGAATGAAAGTAGTCCTAAACGATTCGAATGCAAAATAATCAGTCCAATTTTTGTGATGCTTCATTAATCAACTGCAACAACAAGAATTCACTCAACACATCTGAAGATATCAATCGCTTCATTTCATTGACACATCTGAATTCGATTCACAACATTACAATTTAGTAGCACTCGACATTGGGTATTTTTTAGGTTTTAAAATAAATGAGCATTGCGTCCATCCGTTTCAATTTCTGGTCGCAGTTTGTAACACGTTCTCCATCTGAATGAGCTTAGTTTGACATGTTGTTGAGCTTGATGAATCTGGCTTTTTAGTTGAAGTCATTGAATTGATTGAGAAGATGGATAACTGATTAAGGATTTTTATTCATTGTCACAAACACTGAGTAATAAAAACAACTAGTCCGCATCTGTATTATAATGTAAAATGATAATAATACATTGAAATGGTACATTCCATGAGGTATTATTATCATGCTCATTATTACCTGGATTACCTGGATTGGCCAGGCTATCAAACGTTTGTAACGCTGCTGGCCACAATGCTCGCGTTTCCGTTCGCACTGTTTTAGCCTTTATTGACGCCACCCCGCTGGCTAGACGAGCAGGCCACCCGATTACAACCAAATGATTAATTAGTTGCCGTGAATACTTTGCATAATAACCAAATACCAGTCCAATAAATAATCATAACTCTAATAAAATAAATGTTCCGCCGATCGCTCAAAGCGATCTACAAAACAACCACTCGATGACCAAGTAACAAGTAAGAAAAAAAATTATAATGCTCATTATAATTATCATTATTCTTGTTGTCGTTAATGGATGAAAATATTATAGTGAGATTGAATAAATAACTGAATATGCAAATTGACTAATATTAAAAATTACTCGTCAACGATGAACAACCTATTAAGTTAATATGATTAATGTAAATATAATCGTAATTGAGGTGTGTATTCAACTATTCATTCATTCGTTTGATGTTTATTACAGCTGTTAATATCACACTTCATTTAATATAACCGTAAAATGAATTACTATTATTCGATGAAAGGATGAAGCAACTGTTTCAATATTATTATCTCTTTATAACATATTACATGCGACGCGTTTCGCTACCATTCAAATGCCGTTTTGCTGCATTCAGAAAGAACGCACCTTTCTTCAATGATTCTGACCTTTACGAGAAATTTCTTGTTTGAGAGCAGTTAAACAGAAGAAATATAGCAACTTTAATATGTTGATCGTCTTATAGCATTTGCATGTTACGAGTCACACTCGAGGATTGAGTAATTATAATGAAAAATGCGATTAGTGATTGCATCGATGGATTTTACTAGGCTTCACTGTATATAGTCGACGCAAACGAACAACGATTTATTTGATCACACTGAGCACGATGTTCATTTACAAATTTCATATACAAACAAACTGACAATTTATATAACACGACTATATGCTTTCATCTTTCATATGTACATTCATAGTTCAGAATGCGGATGTCCTCTTGTGTATTGACATTTTTGCAAAGAAAAAAAAATTATTGAATAAAGAATCAAATGAGAGATGGAAGCATTCGCAAAATCACCAGTCACAAAACAGGATAACTGTTAATCGCAATGAGCCACAATAAAGGTATTATTAAAAGGTATCAAAAATGCTTCATTCTGTCTTGTGCAAAAATTAATCTGAAACACTCGTACTATCCGCATTATGGTGTTGCTTCAAAATGGTTGAATTCTGCATTGTGCCAACACATTCCAATGATTTCTTCTTCATTGCTAATAATGCAATACATAAATCTCGACCTATTTCTTTCAGTTCAAATATTCCAATCTGAATTTATGAGCAACACTTCAACTCACTTTTAGTTTCAAACAACTTTACCACTGCACCAAATACCAGTAGCATCACTTAATCGCGCAAAACCAACATTTACAAAAAAATTACATGAATAAAGGAATTAGCAAACAATTAAAAACGGTCAGCTTACATGATTATTGGCGTATGGACCATTGCTATATCCACAATAAGTTGCTTCCATTGTGTACACACAATTAATACCAAACTGACGCCATAAGACAACACGAGCTGAGGATTCTTTTGCTTTTGTGATATTGAAGCAACACTCCGAGAAGGAAAACGAACGTGACACCTCAATAAAATTGATTGCAGGCTGAATCCTTCCAAATCGAGACAGCTACTCATGTCATGAACTCGCTTCTTAACAACAATAATTTCGCTATAAACAAAACCTGAGACAGCAAATGCGGAAGCAGCATAAATTGATCAAGATCATAGCAATCTGACAGTGTGCGATCCGATAATTTCCACGATTGTTTTGGATTGTTACCAAACATGAAAACATTGTAGCGTCTTGAATGACCGTGAAAATCGATGTACGCGAATGGTTTCTTTTTCAGCACATCCACCTGAATATATAAATTACTTAATTTCTTGACTGATAACCAAAAAGGGTAATTTTTCGGGTTTTCGATAAAGACGGTCCATTCAAGATGACGGATGTAGATTTCTGAAATTTTCATAGCCGAAAAAAGGACAATGAACACGTAGTTACAAATGCTGAATAACTGAATCAAACTCATTTCAATCATTTTAGAGAGTCTTTTAAGCATATTTCTAGGGTAGCATCATAGGTTCATGCATGGAATAAGTGTATGAGAAAGTGGAAATATTTTTATGGAAGAGAGAGCAGGGATAGTACTATAGAAGAAAAGAGAAGGAAACAAGTTTTCTGGTTTTTAGGAGCATTAATTTGGTGGTAAAGGAGTTCATTTGATGGAGTAGATTATTTGAGGAAATACGATACGTACATAATTCCTGCAACATACTTATGTGAATATCAATCTAAGCGTTCGTGATCGATACGCAATGGATCAAGCATTAAACGAAGACTGTGTTATTTTAAAAATGAATATTTGACGATCGCTAGCACATTAGAATGTAATGTAGCAAAATAACCGTTAAAGTGAAAAACATTAAACGTTGAAACCAACAACATATTGAACGAGTCCTTTTGAATGGAATATAGTTGGATGAAAGAGCGATGATGGTACATCCCAGCAACGATTCAAATCAGTACCCGCTAAACCACAACGATGATTACCATTGATCACTCCATCGGTATTCAACATCGGAATCAGTTTAAAGACAAAATGATTGCGTAATTCAATCGCATCCGATGATGAACCACTCAAAAACTCTATTACACCTGAACACATGTGGATTTAATTCATTTAAAGTAACATTATCATTAGCATTAACACCACTACATTTCATGTAACAGGTAAAATGGACCAGAATAAGGAATAAATGAACGAGAAGTAAGCTGATAAACCATGCATCATCCAACTCGCATTACTTTCACCAGGATGCACGCGTGCCGAAAGAAGCACAATTTCTCGTTGGTTAATTTGTTCGTTCGTTCCGAACGCCGTTATAGTAATCAGAGGTACTGTATTACCAGCCAAACTATAGCACAGTGTATCATTACGCATGTAAAATGAATGCGGCGATGACAACTTATTCAGTCGCATCATAGTACGCTCCAAATTGATCTGCAAAATCAACACTATCGTACCACTACAATATTAACAGTTAATATCATTGTTTTTGATATCATAATTTCAATCTAATTCGCTACTTTCATCTTCACGTTTCACAGATATTATCTTATAATATTTTAAATTCGAGCATTCGGTATTTCACAAGACTTTACGAAATAGGCAAAAACCAGCAAACCAAACAAAACTATGGAATGCGATTGGTCAAAAAACGCAATATCCTACTGAGGGGGAATAATAATTATACCTGGAGAAAGGAGTAAGTGTACGGAAAGTGATAGGCGATATAACATACATCAGCAGCATGTTGAAAAGAAATCGTGAAACGAATTGAAAAATGCTTCCTAAAAGAGTTGAATTACTCAGCATTATCACTGTCATAAGCGTATGGATTCAGATTAGGCATTTTAGTGCAATATTATTAATATTTGCGGTCTTCTATGCATTATATTCACTTTTAGTATACTATATTTTTTACTATTCAATGGAAACATTACGTGCCTTCGACAATTACTCAGGATAAATAGTCCGGAGTAACATGCCATCAAGAACATGATACAATGGCTAACATACTGAAAAGTACCAACTGAATGTGAAACAATGAGCTAAAAGCGAGTCTGAAAAAGTGTATGTAACGCCTAAACAGAGCTGCAAAATAAATGCGCACAATCGCAATCAATGGATATCATAGACCAATGAAGAAAAATCGCATCTTTGGTGTCAAATGATCAAGAGTGCTTCGAAACGATAATTACGGAATGTAGCAATATTCAGCACTACTAAGATCCAAAAGCACTAATTGATAAATAAACAGTAATGAAGCAACGAAACGACCTTAGATTACCTAGAGCGATGAAGAAATTGCTTGCTGAGGGGGACTTGAAAGTACAAAAGGGAACTGAATGGGGTTGCCAAATCACCGTTGACTGATTTTTGAATAATCCTTCCGTAGACGGTTGACTACAATAAACTGACACTACTGACGAATTATTTGAGAAAAAACTTCTTGATAAATGTACCAATTTTCTTATTTGTCACTAAGAGGGGAATTGCGGTTTGCCATTAAGCTGCAGCGCAACAGCAAGGCAACCATTGGTCTAGAGATTATTACGTCTGGATGTGGGTAGTAAGGTGGCAAGTGTGATACCGACTTTGGTATTGAGATAAAGACTTCTTAAACTTTTGCTCAAATGATACCAAAATCGGTTTTCTAAATAAGACCAAGATTAGACTGCAACTTACCCCGATGCAATCTACAATAAGTTCGAATGTGTAACGCTTAATAATCAAACTGATTACTGCAATCTTGCTCAACAATATGCTCCAGAAATGAATGTGATAGCCAACCTATACCGTCCACGGCAGGTACAGTCTACCCCAATGGCATTATCGTGGTATGTGAATAATCAAATCGCAAATAGAATTAACCGGTGCAAAAAATATACAGACTGGAACAGAACATGTATAGAAACCTTATTGGTAAACATCTTTTTTGTTTTGATTTAGCACTGATTTTTTTGTTTGATTTGTTACTGACTGAGTTAGAGTGTAGAGCATAAAGATTACGATAATAACAAATCGAAGAACCGGTGCGTTTCCACTCACACTGATCATGAAGACATGCGTCAGTTACAGAGAACATCACTGGTTGCATTCCTAAACTGCGTTCAAAACATAGATTAACATTCTATCATTTGAACACAACATGCTAATGAAAGATTTACTCTCTTTTACCATATGATGTAAATTGCTATTATTATCCTTCTCCTATTCAGACGAAGTCAAACAAAAAGTGAAAAAAAAGAGTATGAATGAATGACTAGATTAACCTTTGGAAAACATTGAGGTGCTTTTAATACAGTTAATCACTTCGAACGTATATGGTACATTAGCTTCGTTATTGGATACCTCGAAATAGAACCACTGATAATGTGGACGTTTTTGATTGGTATCCGGTGATAAGATCAATTCATAATGATGTTTATTCACCTGTTGAGAAGATAAATTACATGATTTATTCAGCAGATAACTTATTTGATCATTTGGGATTAACACTCATAAACGACTACTAGTACTACAAAGGATACTCACATAATGCCTTGAATCAATCTTACTGCTTCCTTTGCAGTCGTAATTTCTGCACTCATCTATTTACTACTCTTTCTAGCCATCATTATTATTGTGATTTCAAAAATTCTATCCTAATGCACAACTCATAACACAACACACACTCATCATATCGTTAATTTTGCTTTCCCTTTTATTTAAATATTTAATTCTGATTTTTACCATTCATAACACTTTTGAACAACCTTTTAATTCTATAGTAATAATAACAAAAACTACTACTGCTATCAAAATATCCAAATAGAACCACTCATAATGCGAATGTTTCTGCATCAAAACCAATATAAATTCGGCTAATCAGTGAATCCGATGAAAACGAAAAGGAAGACAGAAATATGTACTTGCACTACTTTGCGTAGATTACCACTCTCGAACCGACTCTCAAATAAGAGATGATCAACATTCGCTTGCATCTTACCAATTCTGAATATTTCATTATGACAACAACCATTTTCAATTCTTGCTAACAGTTTGACTGATGCTAATTTTCTTCAAATCAACACCGCATTATGCCAACATCATTAGATTCAATCGCAAAACTCATCTTTACATAATTCATTTCAAGAAAAAAGCAAAAGTAGCAATACTACTTTTAAAGACTGATGATCTCGGCAATACTACTTATGTGGACGATAGCTGCCCACTTATTTAAATATCATCATTGAATCACACGCATAATGCAACATACAAATTGAGTATTCGGATGAAATGACCGCTACATAAAAAAACAACGATTAAATGCCTATGACGAAGAACTGAACCTATTTCTGTCATAATTTCCTAGAGGCGTAATTTTTGATGGTTCTGATTGTTCGCCTTCATCACAAATCAAATTATCCAGATCGTAAACAATTCGCGCAATAAACTTCGGTGATGTGCTTCTGAATTGTTTAATCTCCTGCAGTACAACGTTCCTGAAGTATACACCAACTTATAACATCATCTAATTTGAATGAAACCATTTGAAGCAAATCAAATCGGAGTGATTGTTGCAGTGCGACAATAGAGAATGTTACTTGAAAATGCAGATCACTTCAACTGATGATCATAATATGTGATCATTCAGTTCACCGACAGAAATTTATAACTTGAACCGTAGAATGATCCTCGCTTATTAACTTAACAACGATGCGTACTTTTAGAGAATACAGAATCAAAGATTCAAGTTATCTCAAATTTGACTTCTTGGTAGATCCATCGAAATAAGTTTGTCATGGTGAGGTCTGCCGACATGGTCAACAAGTGCTACGCCGAGTTGACTTGATGTATAACGTTTCCTCTCAATGGTAAGAAATAAAATAATTGACTGATGAACTCACTCCACTGCTTCACTCATCAATTTATCGGTTCGTCCGTTAATTTATATTCCAGATGAAAGAGGAGAATAAACGACAGACAGAGGTAAACGTACATGCAACGTGCTTGTTTAAGAATACGAAGTGGTAAATGAGTATTTCAATACGCAGAATCAAGCGATTATATAATAGAATTGAGGACGACTGTGACAATCCACAAATGAAGTGCACTGATCTATGCGTTAACTCTTTGCTATCGAATTTTAAACAACCAACACATACACACATACACCACGTTCTCTTAATTCGAATGGATTCATTCGCAAAATCAAAGTAATCAACCGCCCGCTTATCCCTATCTGCAGATCGCAGATTTGTGTTATCTATGTGTGTGTTACCTTCGTGAATTAGATCCTTCTTCTTCTTCACTGTCATCTTCTTCTCACAACTCTGAAAATAACTGTGTGTTGTTGACAGCCAAGACCTTGAAGTTATTGCAGATGTTGAATAACAAATCAACTAACAACACTTCACTTCTCTATTAACAACAATAAATTTAACACAACATCAACACGGCAATAAAGCATTGACAACGAATAAGTGATCACAACACAAAATCATGGCGAATTGAATGCTTGCCTGACTCATTTGGCAGTATACTACGTTGAATTACGAGTTATTCACATTCATTGAAGAAGAAGAACACGCTTAAGAATAATGAAGAGGAACGAATGAATGCAAAAACGTTAGCATTTTGCTGGCAATTCATACGAACAGTATTACACCTTATCGAAGCCGTGTTGTGTTGCAGTGGTTGCTGTCTGCATTCAACGATCCGATCCAGCAATTCTGGGAAAGCGATCTTCACAAATCGATTATTTGCCGGATTCGTTTGCTGAATTTAACAAACCAGTTAAATATAATTTCCAGTGAATGGGTGATTTATACTTTCATTAAATATAAATATTAAACAATGCTTCTTTCTTATCAATTATTCATTTCACTCAAAAATTAATTCACCACTACAGTTCGACACTGCAATTTTCTTTAAAACGCCATCATCAGAAGCAACTGCTACACGTTAATAAACAACAAACTTTTTCAATGCATGCGCACTACTGGATAGATGAGAAGTGCTTGAAATGAAATGTTTGTCTTATTGTTAGATATTTGATTGGCAAGCTCTTTGCAACACATGATAGACAGACAACCTCATACGGTTAAAGGGATCAGTTACACATAAATAACAACCTGAGCTATGAGAGCCACTAGTTCGGAGCGTGATATGACGACTGACGACTGAGCATTAAAAGTCGATGAGAGATTCGTTGACGATTGAAGGAATTCAGCGAAGAAAGCAGCATAATTGCGCGTTAGCTGATCGTAGCTTTGATTCTGATACAACAGAGAACATTTCTCTTTCACATCATCAACTAAATTATCAGTGTCATCATCACAAATATTTTGCAAACAACTCCTCATACCACCGTCTTTCCTCACCACCCACAAACAATCTTCTCTTTCTTTTCTCTCTTCTTCTTCAACTGCGCTTCCATTCTCATCTGAAGTTTGATTAAATACTGACTCAATTCACAAGTCTAAAAGAATTTACTAAGAGAAAGCACACACACCTACTGCTCTAATTACCGTCAACGAACCGCATTTTATACTGTTCAATATACAACATAACTACTACTTCAATATTACTAATAAATCATTTTCACCACTTAAAAATGTGTGAAAATTGAATTACCACTGTTCGACGAGTTTAGCGATATATTTTGAGGAGGACGGAAGACTGCTGCTGTTATTTTCAAAGGATTCGTCGATCCATCTGGTGGGCTAAAAATTTGGATATATTTGGATAGGTGCAGGTGTTCTAGGTATAATGACAAAACAGTATCGTCATTTCACTAGTCTTCGATTTGTATCCACCCTATCAGTTTTTGAATTCCATCCAAAGTTTCCACTTACACTTCAGTTAAGCGTGAAACAAAGCATCAACTACAACAGTTCATTCAAATCATTCTTCACAACACGCTTACAAACAATTTGGAGATGGATTCAAAGGGATAAACAGTGGTAAATGTTCCGCTATAATTCACCTGTTATCAACTGAGTGTTGAATGGAAATTGTCGGGCGACTTAAAGGGATTTGAAATGAAAACGACAATTGCGACGACGAGAGTGGATATGGCTTTGCAGGTAGACAACGCATGCATAATGCACACAACAAATCCTTAAACTGATTCTGGTAACAGTGATATTTCAATTATGCAAGACAAAGCCGTAGCGGAACAAACTCTACCAAAAAACCAGTGCAAAGAACAAATGAATTTTCATTGCACATATTTAAGACATCGCAGTTTGTGAATAAACGTTCATGTAACCGTATATATCTGATAACAACCACTATTGAGGATGCTTCAGCATTCAATAATAATCATTTTTCATTTCTACATCTATACAAGGATCTTTAAATACTGAATAAATGATTGAATATGAATTAAATATCAAATATGATTAACACCAACTTGCAACTTAAGCAGATAAGATAACAGTGGTAAATCTTCCGATAGTATTTTTAAATCGTCAGTGATACTGTTAAGTGCACATTCACACATTTCAATTACACCATTTGCAATTAACTGTTCATGGCCTTTCTCTGTACAAACAGCAATAAGTGATCAATATGAATGTAAGATCTCAGATTTAGGACATATTCAATATCTAGATCATTTGATCATTTGATTTAGTAATGAAGTAATAATAAATTGTTTGTAGCATTTGTTTGAACAGGAAGAATGTTCACGAATACATACTCAACTTAACGTTGCGTTTGAGAGTTGTTCAGTAAAACTCATTTTCATACTTTAATTGAAATCCAATGAGCGTAAAAGCATTTTGTTGAATGAAATCCAAAATAAAATTATTCAAAAGTAATCATTAAATAGAACATGAGAAAATACTGTTTGATGAACACATTTTTGGAGGCATTCAATGATTATTTTGAAAAACGAACTCATTTTAGAGAGCTGTCCAATACAAGCCAATGAAATAAGACACAGCTCTCTACTGCCACGCCGATCAACGTCGTTGAGAGTGATCATCGCGAAATACCGCTCGAATAATCCTTGTATCACCGGTATTATCATTCCATCAATTAATGCGCTTTTACATTTCTCTTAATTTAATCGCTTATTCGATATCGAAATAGCCGTCAGACAGAGCAAATCAATTCAGAATTGATTGTTTTCGAGAAAATAAAGAAAAAATCAATATTCGAACCAATACGCCCGTGAAAAAATCTTAAATTGTAACTCAAAGAAGCAGTTCGAGAATGTCAACAAAAATAGACAAGATAAAACTTGCTATTCTCGCAAATAAAGTAGATAATTTCAGTGAATTGTATCATTTTGAGTGTATACAAGCTGTCGAAAACCGATTTAGCATTACCAAGATGTCGCACAGTATGCACCGTAAAATCATGAAAATTAGCCAACAGTTGAATGCTGCGTGCTGCAAACGAAAACAAACATTTTTTGCTAACTGTTTTGGCATAAATGAGAACAGATCATAAAATAAACGAAAAATTATCACAGTGTTCTACATCGAACGTTAACTGAGCAACTTCAGTGCGAATGACAGAATAAGAAAGCAACCAACGTGAACGAACACCACGACACATCAATCGAATTAATGTTTCCGAACACTGAAGTTCTTTTCCAGCAAATATTCGATTGTACAATACACCGATTAAACCGACGAGTCGAAATTTGAGAGTGAATTTACGATCTGCAAATAATAATATTGATAACTGTAAAGTAGAAACGACGATGCACACCTGCACTGACCTCGATTTGACATTTTCAACAAAAATTCCGATAAATTATCAACGACAATTGACTGCGATGAAACTGTTGTATCCTCTAGAAGTGTTTTCAACAGAGCCCTCATCACATAAATTGTTGCATCCAAACGCACTAAACGACGTTCACGGCGTTCCATTGCTGAACTGAACACTATTAAAATACTTCGTAGACGTAGAAGAAACTTAAGGAATCAATGCTTTGATTTTTAAATCATTTCAAATTAGAATTCAAAACTTGACTGACAAATACAAATTAAGAAGTTTTTCGAGAGAAAAAGTGAAGGACCTGCAGGCTTACAGTGCGATATATAGCCTTGCATTAAACGACACAACAATAGTCTTGCTGATTCATCTGATGCAAGCTGAAAAAGAGAGAATCATTCATACGAATAGGCGATTGAACGAGTACGGAAATGCGCAAATTCAAAAGCAAAAAAATACGCAGTGCTTATTAGCCTGAAAAAACGAAGACACTGTTTCGCTAAAGGTGGTACGCATTTATGACTGAAGTGGAGCACACCTGAACTGCTTTCAAACAGCGAATCATCAAATCATCGCTACAATGCATGTGCACACAATCGTCGCCATCGCCTTTCATTAAGTCACCATCCCCACTATTAGTCTTCTTAAGGCACAACAAGAAACGATACGTTGATGCTCGTTGTTGTATCTGCAAGTGAATATCAATAATCAATTGTTTATTATCAAAATGCCGATCAAGAAAATATTCATCCAATTAATTCACTCGAAATAAACTTTCAATACATTTCATCCACACAATCCAAAATGTACTTATCGCTGATTTCAATGATTTATTTCTTTACTTTCCTTCAACGCTACAATATCAAATCCTGAATGTGACATAACAAGCTGACTACTAGGATATACAAACACAAAAGCTTATTGCAAACATTGTGAAATACGAACTAACTGACCAACGAACTTGAATTGCATATAACACAATTAAATAAAATGAAAATAATAAACAAAAATAATCAAAAGTCACAAACTTCATCAGTAAATAAGTCACTGATTTGCTGTGCAATTCGTCTTTGAACACTGATATGTGCATTTAAGATGATCTCATCGATGAGATGTACAAAAAGATTTGTCAATTCACAACTCTCATCCACTACACCACACGAAACACTGAACTTATGAATAATTATATTAAAATTGAACAATCAAAGTTACTTTCTACTCTTCACCACTAAAAACGACTCGAATACAAAAAAGATTTCCTTCAACATTTAATCACTCATCTTCTTTCAAAACTTAACTTTATTTAAAACAAAACAAAAGTAGTCGGACATCTTTCATTCACTTATCAAATATAATATCCACTGATAGATTATGAGTGCCATAAAAATGAAAACAACCGCTAAAACTCAATCGGATGACTATTCATAAAACAAACGAACCCAACTTTATGACCAATGTCACTGTTGGTATACATCAACGAAGGAGTATATCGTTATATTTGCACCTTTACTAACAACTTGTCTTAGCCACCACAATAACAATCGCTAGAAAACACAATGAATCCATCAATTAAACCCATTTTATAACCGTCATCATTTCTTCAGTTGCTATCATTTAGCATTCATTCTCGATTTCGAATGAATTGAATCACTGAAGTATGCGTCATTTTCAATGATTAGAATGTGATTAAAAATATTTTACACGCTATGCGAAAGAATAATGACCATTACGGAACTGGTCAACATTTGAGTGTTAAAAGCAGTAAAACGGCTTTCATTTCGGCTATGTGCACATTTTTGCGTTGCAATTCAATATTTCAAACTTTCATCAGTATCAACAATAATCGACATTGAACCCGTGTCATTACCCATTAAAAATTCAGAGCACGCAACTAGCCATCGTCCATACAACGAAATGACTGCGTGCACACGTCCGTAAAAATGCCATCAATTCATCCAATCCAACAAAGTATTTTTTAACAGACCAATCGGATATTTAAAATAGACTTCATTCTATTTTCTGTGCACTTGTCACTACAGTATTTGTGAGCACTTAACCCATCGCAACTCAATTCCTTTTTCCATTTTGCAAAGAGATAACTGCAGTGGTGAACAATAGCGCGCTCTTCCTACTCCGCTGTCAGTGGAGCTACTTTTTCCAGTCGTGCGATAGCTCACTACTTTCCCCACATAGCGGAAATTTTTAGCGATAACTTGCGCTGTTTTCTTTCGTTAGCGCTTTAGTGGGCTACATTTTTTGAGACTTCCCCTAACTTGCTATTTTCCCTCTGCAAAATTTAGGTATGGATACCGAATTAAACCTTTTTTGAAGCTTCTTTTTCCCAACATCAAGACATTAAAATATACATTTCCCCTGACAATGCTTAATGTACTCGTCTTAACGGGTCAACTTAAATCTTCAAGCATTCCTCAAATACTTGCCAAAAGTGCACCACTAGCATGACCTCTAAGTTGTGTGAATTTTATTAAGTTGCGTGACGGTGCTATGAGATTTTCTTCTTTTTTATTTTCGTCAGGAAGGAACATTCGCATAACAAAGTGTGCAGTAGAGTTTGGTGCAAATGATTACAATATGACGAATATACTGACCCAACTGCTGCTGAGGAGGGGAGAAAAGGTGAAAGAAGAAAGAAAATAACAAATTATACACATTATCACCGATATCAAGCGGTTCGGTCGTGTTATATCTAGGTCAATAAAATGGGAATGAATAAAACTAGTTGGATGAAGCAGCTTATTCTTTCGACTTTTCTACTTCCTCTTGTCAAATAACTGATTGAATCAAGGATACAAATTCGATTTCATTTGGTAGAATAGATCAAAGTTTGCATTTAAATATTCGGTGAGATTTTGAGGATACAATATATTGAGGAGTAGATTGCAGACTTTACGATTCTATTTGCAAATGATAATTATGATGTGTTCAATTTTGACAGCGGGTTTAACGGAATTACTTTGGCGGATTCGTTTATTGCTTGAGGAAAATCAAAAAATTCATTCTTTAGGAGATCAACCTGATGTTGAATGACTTGAGATATGATAATTTTGTACAGAGATCAGAATAAAACGCTCGCAATTGCGAAGTTTCGAATAATATTGATATTGTTAGTGTTGATATTATTTGGTACGTTACTGATACTTCCATAGTCTGTTGAAAATGAAACGTCCCATTGCTGATGCATTCTGACGAACTTGATGAACCGCTAACTTGGACAGACTGGGAACGGTTCGTAAGAAGTTCTCGGATACAGTTGCAAAGAGAACCTTTTATGCCATATGCTTATGATTTGAAGGACAATTTAGGTATGGATACCGAATTAAACCTTTTTTTTGAAGTCGAAATATATAGTACCGATGTAGCTCGCCTTGTTTCAATGAGATACCCTATTTTGATAGGATCGAAGTGGAACTGCAGTAATTGTTCTTCTATTGGGAAAGCCGCAATTGAAAGGAGGAAACGGTTTTTAATTTTGAAACAGTTTCTCAGTTCGGCCGCCATTATTTTTTCCCTATCTTCACAAATTGAGCAAGTTAACGAGATGGAATGGTAGTTATGCGAACTCATTTGGGAACCTTTTTTATGCATAGATCTGATGAGGGAACTATGGACCAAACTACCTACGCTCTCAGGTGAAGTGCGCAGTGTGTTGATATTCTCGGAAGGGAATGACAAAGTGTATTGTGGGTTGCTGACAGCTAATTGTTTTTCATCTTTGAATTTTGTTGTCGTCGTTTGCTCACTTCCTCAGTATCGGAATTTGTTTTTATTATTGACTGACGCTTATTGTTGGAATGATTATCTGTTGTCGAATGATTCAATATAAATTTTCAACTGTTTTATGGCGTAATGACGTTTTTTCCGGATAAATAAGCCGTGCAAGTGCAAATTTTGAGGTCAGATTTGAAAGTAGCGATTAGCAAACTAATTCTGCTCAGTTGCGTTTTGGTGAAGACTAATACTACATTTTCCGATTGGTGGCATTCTTAGAAAAACTTTTCGCTAAAAGGCGTAATCTGCTAGTGGCGCACAACTAGCAGATTACTTTTAACAGAACAAAGATAGTTTTTAGCGAATTAGCGGAGCTACTTTTTTCATTATACACTTCCAACGCAACCGCTTGAAGCGGAAAAAGACCGGTGAATAACTGAAAGAAAAATAAACAGTACGATTAGACGCAAAGCAAATAATAAGATGGAACGTTTTATTGGCACTTGGCAGGTAATCAGACATTGATGGTATACGAACCATTCGAAAAGGCATGAGCATCAATGGATTTCAAAAAGAATATATTTATTCTAATCATTCAACAACCAGAAGCAATTCCTTAAAAAAACACTTATATATTATATACTTCCAGCAGTAGAAGAAAACAAAAACAGACGTTGAAATGATTTGACGCGGCAATTAATGTCAGATCAGTGATACCCATCATTTAATTTACACTACATTAACTACTCTCATAGACAAAAAATTATTTTCACACTTTTGAATAAATCTTTTAAAATGAAATAAATCCATCTGAACTATCGCAAGTAAAAGGATATTTATTTATTTACTTATTTATTCCTAATTTAGAGTGGAATTAAAATTTGCATGACAATTCCTTCGAAGCGATAACGAACAAAACTTTTTTTCAGCTCAAATTCACAGCGAATGGTTTACTTTCAGTAACGATTCCACTCGGTGCAGCTTTCTTCGCAAATAAGGGCGGTGATCGAAGCGGAAGCTTTGGTGGTTCCAAATCACCGTACTGCTCTTCGTAGTAACGATTGAACGATCTGAAAATACGAACATACGCATAAATGTATAAATATATTAAACGTGAATGCTCAAAGTGGAAATATTGATAAAAAGGGATGGTCAAACCACACAAATCCTTTCCATTAGTTCAAATATCGAAAATGCAATTGCTTAAGTGTTAATTGAACGTTACTCTTTTCTGTATGTACGTCGTCGCATGCGAGAACCGTAAAAGGTACCTCTCATGAACGCCATAACAAAATGCTTGATATGATATACCTATAGAATGCTTGTTGTCCACCAGCCAGTTCAAATTCAGTAAGTCGTCTAACACCAAGATCAGCAAGAGTTGGTGCGCCCGTGAGCACATCGCTCGTACCTTCCACCACCTCCATCCATTCCCACATTAATGGTGTATTGCATTTGAACACTTTGCCATACAATTCGCATGCATTCACTAATGCTCTGCAATCATCATTTCACTATGAGTGTTCCTTTAATAACTAACCTCAGTCGAATTCAGTTTCTACCATTCATTCATTTACTCAAAACAGTGATCCCTTAAAGGAGAAAAAAGTTCTTGAAATGTGTCAAGAAAGAATGGCGATCAATATAATTTCAAAGAATCATTCATGGGAAAACAAGCAATAAGAACAACCATAATTTCTTTAGGCTGCTTAAATCTATTTACTGAAATAAATTGAAATGTGATATCCTTGATAACGAGCTTTATGAATCAAAAAACTTCGCAAGCTATGCCAGTGCATTTTTTGTCAAAAAGAATTAGCGGGCACTCTGAGATTATTAATAGCTTATTCTTTCGAACGTATGGATTAACTTATTGGACGCATGAAATGCGATGATGTTGCTGCGAAAATTCGCTGTTATTATAAAGCTGAAATACAGATGTGTCATCAAACCTGAAATATGGATTGAATTTACTACCGTGACGTTTGTAATGAAAGCCGAATTGCGGTAAACAATGTGCTTTACGATACATGAAATCCATCAGTTCAGACAGCTGATAGCAATGCGGGCCAACAAACTCATACGTCTTACCGATGGTGGTCGGATCAAGAACAACCCTCTCAACTCCCATCGCCACATCACCACCCTGAAAATATGCAAGAAAATTTGACGAAAATCCATTGATTCAATTGCAAAAAAAAANAAAAAAAAACAATTAATACTGTGATTGCTACCTTTTGAATAAATGCTCTAAAAGTGAATAAAATGAAAGAATACATAATTTAACATATAAGCGGACCATTACTTACCCAAATAGGCATTTTGAATGTTTTTTCGCCTGCTTTATAAAGCCATACACGATCGAGTGGTGTTTTTCTCCATCGTGACACATAATATTGAATGAATCCATCATTCTCACCGAACATTAGAGCCGGACTGAAAATTGCATATGATTATTGTTCTGTATCAAGTTTTTTAATTGGCGCAACCAATGAAGGCCGATTGAGTAACTTGAATGAAGCATAAGAAGTGAATTTTAAATTGCACACCTCACCATTCCTCAGCTACATCCATTAATGAAATGTTATTGATAAGAGACCAAGCAAATTCGCTTAAAATTAACAGCGATAATCCAGAATGTATTACACGGTCAAAACAGAATGATAAATTCCGACAGTATACAAACCGGATAATCGTTGCTTCCGGAAATTCTTCACGCACCGCTTCCTCGCCGTAGGCTTTCGTTCGCAAAAACTCAGATCCATTCTTCAGCAACGCAGGCTTAGGATGGGTGGTCGCATTCAGTGCCGACATATGAATAAATCTGAAGTAAACAAAGACAATAAAAACATGGAACAAAACTCAAGTAACCGACCTTTCGACACCCATTTCTTTAGCAATGCGAGCAATACGCCTCGCACCATTCACATGCGTTTCAGCGAATGAATAATTCTTTGTTTGATGCTTTGTACCAATCATATTTACCACGATATTGCTGTATTTCAATGCCCGTCTTATTGATTCTTCATCTTTCAATTCGAATGGAAAGAATAAAATCTGACCCAGCTCACCCACCACCTGATAATTGAGAAAATTATTGTTTTCAATATTTGAAAGAAAAACGACGCATTCATAAATTATCATCCAAATAGCATAAAATAAACAGATCATCGACAGACTGCACATCCTTCAAAAATTACGGATTCAATTTGTGATGATGTGCTCTAGTTTTGGATACTTATCTGAACCGAGCAGTTAATCATCCAATCAACTTTATTCTACATTAGAAATGTTATGTGCTTGGATTTGGTGATGAATGTATACACTGATTGAAACAAAATGTTTAGAAAAACTTCATTAGAGCAAACCTTATGCCCTCGAACCCAATACGGGTCCTGTCTATATGGAATAATGAGTTGTGTTCCCTGTTTGGCGAGTCGATTAACCACTGGTAATCCCAAAAAACCAGTAGCTCCAAAAACTGTCACCACGTTTCCAGAAAAACTACATCGTCCTCCGGTTCCCTAACAAAGCAACAACGTAATCATTCAACTAAAGCATTTATAACTGGTGCCACTGAGTGGAAAAGAGCGTGAAAAAGATTGAGATTTATAAAATGGGGTTAAAATAAAGAACATTCAAAAGTAAATCAAAACAACCTTTCGAAATGAAGCACCTTTACTGGAAATTATAGGTGTTGGAACGTTGGCTGCGGATGCATCGCATGCAGCAGAAGTTGTATGCAATGCGGCTACAAATGCACCGCGTAACGAAACGCCCACCAGTCGAGTGTTTGCAGTCAACATGAGCTGACAACTACAATCCACATTCACCATCAAAATATCATTGTAACTAGCATGAACGAATCACAAAATCAAAACAATTGCAGTAAAATTTAACTGCTCATTAAATATACCATTCATTTTACTGCACTACGCTGTTACTCGTGGATAAACCCAAAAAGATGTACACCTAACAATGGCTGCATTATAGTTTTAAATTATAACAATTTTAAAATATCACCCAATATCCAACAATTAACTGGCACATCGTAACACTTATAAAAACAATAATTTCGAATCCTACAACCGCAGAAGTTAATCTCAAATTTTTTTGATTAAGCAATTCTCACGGCTGTTCATTGCAACAGCTGTTTTATATTCAAATTATGATCAAACCGACTAAATTTTACATGATATTGGACAACAATGAAGATATATATACTAACGACAATGAAATTTTATATAGTGTGAGTGTAATTATAGAAAATCATTATCAAACATGATAACATAAACTTCAACAATTAATTATGTCAATTTGAGAAGGGTGAAGAGAATAATATCACATAAAGCTACAGCTACCAGCCGAAAACGATACGTGCAGTCGTACCAGATGTTCTTTCAGCAGCATGCATTGGTACGTAACCAATTGGACATTTTGCCACAAGAGTGGAGACGTAGGAGTTTGCAGACAGTGTAGGTGAACGCGTGTGGATAAAAGATAGAGAGAGCAAGCATGTCAAACAATCGAAGTATTTGAGATAAAGTGAAATTTAACGATAAATCATATGTGATGTTGTAGTACTATTGGAGTATTTCTAACCGAACGACGAATTTAAATGCACATAACTTTGCACCTTACCATGGAAACGTAGTAAACTTAACAGGATACCACAGCTTTCGCGTTTTTAAGTTCGAAGTCTCAAGTGACGATCATATATAAAAAGGCATAATTTTTGTGTTAAATTTGAGAAAGAGAATGCTCTTCATGTACGCACCTCTGATTATAAGTGAGAAAATAAATACTTGGACTAATTCATCATTTCCTCTTCACAAATGACGCTTAAGTTCTCGGAATGCACGTGTGCGGTACCTGATATACGTTATTTTCCACAACGTGCAACGATGACAGCTCTCTGACTAAGGGTGAGTGTTATGCGGATTGCATTTCTGTACATAACGGGGGCATGCTTGTGTAGGCTTTAATGTGCGCATTGTTAAGTAGTCTGTGTGCAGAAACTTATCGCTTTAGAGTTGCATATCACGTTCATAAATTATTCAGTCACGTGGTGGTTGTATTTGCATCGATGGATACACTGCACTTTCATATGGTGCTGCACTTGCATTGCTGCAAGCGTCACCATCAGCATCTGTCGACAGTAGGTTCAGTGCTCTCGTTGTCGGTAATTCGGTTGTTGTTAGCTTGAATTTAATGTTCTGCATTTGTTGGCAAATTGTTTTTGACGCGATGCAGCTGTACTCATTTTCAGTGTATAATTGTACTTTGTATAGCAGGCGTGTGATATTATTTTGTCACGAATTTGTTCTACCTTATTCGTACGACACTATTTAGAAATGCTAGCCATCCACCTCTGGGTTATTCTGTTGTTAATGAGAACAAATCAGAACAACAATGTAAAACTCTGAAAATTCCTCCACGTCCTCACTGTTGATGCAAATGAAAATATTAAATATATTTATAGGTAGTGTATTATTTCTTGTAACAATGAAACTTTACCGTAAACAACGTTGATCAAAGCTTCATTGACGATTTTAAATAGCCTCAAAGAGGGCTGTTGGCTTCAAAATGTACTCTTCAGGTCTTCTGTTAAGTGGGGTATAGCCCTGCCATCTGCTTCAGTAAATTGAATAAACAGTCTTATCCTTTGAATGCTTTTCTAACAAGATGAATTGTTCCATGCGTTGATTATAGAACACGATCTATTCCTTCTGTGCTCTACTTTAAACTTTTATCACATTGGCTCGACCGTATTACCAAAAGCATCAGTCTCAGGATCGACAGAAAATTTTTTATAATCTCATTTATGACATATTCTTAATGCCACTGTATTATAGTAGATACCAGAGTGATACAAGTTGAAATTTTTATCCATGATTATAGGCAGGAGAGCTTCTACGCTTGTTCTTCCCGCATCAATCACATGATACTCCTTTTTGAACCACCGAATATCCACAGTTGCTCAGTCACTCCTCCAGTATTATGTTTCCTAAGAGTTAGCAACGCCTCATCTATTTCTTCTAGAAATTCAAAAACAAATATTTAAAAAGTCATAGCATAGGGCAGAAGCCATAACTATTGTACAAAATTACCATGCATGACTTTTTTAAACAGTATGGATTCCAATTTCCCTCAAAATTCTGCCAAATTAACGTGGGCACAATAGTTCACTCGCTCGGCAAATCGATGTATTTCAAAGTTTCCGAATTTAGGCAGTCTGTTTATCCACGGTCGACGTACTGTCTGAATCGATTGCGACAAATTGACAAACAAATTAATGACAAAATACTCTTGAAAAGGATCGAGCGAAATTAAAGCTTAAAATTACACTGAGCGTTGTATCATTCGACTAATGCTTTCAGTGGATGACATCTCTTCACAAGAATCAACTGTGACACATTTCATGATCAACAAAACTAGAATACATTCAGGGATCGATATACGAAAATCAAATCATAATCGACTCTTGCTGAATGGTAAGAATATACTCCTATACTACTTGAATGAAATTATGCATCACACATGACCGTTCGGAAATAGAATATCTGATGAGAGGAGTACGCGAGTATTACCACGACTAATATCAATAAGCTTCAATTATGAGACTAGTTACGAATATCAACAGAGCTGAGCGTTTTAGTAAAAATTTTCCTGACAGCAGTGATGAAGGAATGATTAATCTTATGTAATTCACGAGTTTAATTGTTCAGTCATTCTTTTCATGAACCAGTGATGGAAAATCGAAACAAAATTCAATAAAACAATATACCATAGGAACACTGAAAGTTTTAATCAATACGAAGTGAGAAGGAACTAGTGCAAACAACTTCACTTATTAAAAATTAAAAAAGAGAAAACATGTCTCGATCATTATTTAGAGTGATGACAGAGGAAAATGAAATCTTTTCTAATTTTCATCGGAATCTACAAAATAAATACTTAATTATCAATAAATCTGATTCCATTCGGAACTAAAGCCAGCCATTACCACAATTATCTATTATCAGACGACCTTTTCAGTCCGCTCTATCATAAGCGTATGCACCACCACTCTGAAATGACATGAAATTAAGATCATAATGAAATAAAAGATAGAAGAGAAGCAGAATGAAAATAACAAACAACTGAAGATTGATTAGGTTATTTTTAGCAAGCAATCATCCAAAAACTGAATCTATGAGATGAATGTCGACACATGATTTGATCAATCACATCCATTTGCAATCATTCGGTCAGTCAAAAGCAAATACGTATTCATTGATAACAAACAGACAACAGCCAATAAGCAATGAACTCGCATTGATCATCGCGCATTCTTCTTCCGAAATCGGCTGCCTTCTTAAATATGGTGGCAACTGCCATTCTTCAATTCCTTGTCCTCGTGGAATTTTACCAATTGGTGGTGACGAAGATGCTGAAAGCAGCGTTAATTAAACGGTTACTACCGCTATTCCTTGCATTCACAACTCGCTTATAAAACCAATCATTCTCATCATAAGTCCATTTCATAACACGAATGTTGCACTGAATCAGGATATCAGCATTTCAAATGATTAATACCAAACAGGTTATGAATCAGCATGTCAGTATTTCAAATAATAAAACTAAATGATGACAATAACGATTCAATACATACGTGGCGTTGCACTGCTCACAGCTGCAGCAGAAGAAGCCTGGATTGGCGGAAACATAGCACTAAACTATTCATGATCATTAATAAAAATGATAACATTACTATCACGATTATTGGTGAAATCGACTTTATCATTACCAACTATTATTATAATAACACTCATCTTAGTACTTTTATTTCAAATTAGCCATATGAAAAGGTTAGAAATCTACTCGAACTATTCATCGTAACTATCACAATACTTTAAACCATAATCAATTGGTCGATGCAAACGATAAATGAAACAAAAAAGAGGAACCTTAAAGAAGTGATTCAACAAAAAAAAAAAGAACTGACGGATCGAAATGAGGACGTGGTAAGCGTGCTCCTATAAATTTGATCATCGGAGTGCGCACCTGTAGATAATATTCAAAAATCATTATTCGTTCACTCAGCAACATCATTATCAGCCTTTAAAACTTCTTTCCGAACACAATCAATATTGACATTTGTCTTCTTTTTAGAACACAAAGATCCTAGCGTTAATAAATATTAATGAAAAAATAAATTTAAAAAAAAAACATCTTATAAGCAATTAACTATCTTAGTGAATTCACTGAGAAGAAAGCGAAACAAATTGAAAAATAAAGCGATAAAATCTTAAAAAAGAAATTTATGAGAACACTGAAAAATTCAATTAGTAATGAATAGAACAACGAAATTTTACTTGTGCAGCAAACTGAACAGCGGATCGATGCATGTTATTGAGTTGTTGAAAGGAAGAAGGAGTTGATAGCGAACGGGATGGTTTCTGAACAGGATTTGATTCAGGTTCCGATGAGAAATCTGCAAACGAGATATTCGCCGCTTTCACTTGATGTGCTCTAGTTACTTCTTTGGTGTACTTTTGTTGTTCGGTACTACTACTACTAAAGAGCTTACCTTCTACTGCTTTTCGCTTTTGTGATTGCTGTTGCTGTTGCACTTCAACTGTGTTTGAGACGACGTTCTTTGATATTTTATCAATCGAACGAACCGGTTTGCTCTCACTTCCCTTGAAATTCACTTATCACTTTTGAATATTTCATTACTTCAATCGCTTTTCAATCTATCAACTTATTTCTTTTTTTTCGAAAAAATGTGAACTATACGTTGAACTGATTATGTACGAGTAATTATTTCACCTCATTCCTTCCACTTCACATCTTTTCAACCACTCAATTTAATCACCTACGTACACTAAATCCTTGTATCACTTTCAAGTAAATTCAGCTGATCCGTTGGTAACTCAATGAAATAAGAAATTATTTATCTAAAGATAAATAACCAACAGCCACCTCCAATGCACGAGGGAATCGTATTCGTAATAAAGCGAAAATTCGTTTCAACCAACAACCAAACGAGGCGATCGTTCCGACTGGAGTTCTAAATTTTTTCCACCTGAATATTTTAGGAATAACATCCAAAAAATATAATCTCATTCATTGTTTAAGAAAAACGATGAATGCAAGTAATTTGATGTGAAAGGAAGCGAAATGAATTCAGTTATGAATATGATACAAAAAAATACTGACACAAAATGATGAATTAAATCAAATACAGCAATACGACTGATTTTGGTGAGAATAAATGAATTATTTCATTAGAGTGCATTAATATTTGCAAAATAAACATGATACGCGTTAACATTAGGAAATGAAGAAATTAACTGAAGAAGTTTAGTACAATAGAATTGTTCAATACAGATTGATGGCATCGAATAGATTAATCATTACAGATGAATAACAAAAACCGTAAATAAACGAATAGGTAGTCAAACAAAAAAAACCAATGAATAAATTATAGGCAATACATTTGAAGAACAAAATTTCAATACACTCATAAATTGTGGTGATGTGTATCAGTATTTAGGGTTGTAATTCGGCTCGTTAAAAAAAATACAAAACTAAGAGTAGACGCAAAAGTGAGCCTACGCTTAAACTGAAGGCTAATTCGAACGAATCAGATTAAAATCGGCACCTTTGTACTATTAAAGTTCGACGTGGTTTACATATTGCCAAATGAACAACACTGAACTTGAGAGGAATGTGGTGAGAATGCACTGGTAACTAAATGCACTTCAGATATGCAGTGCTAATGAATGAGCCAAATAATTATTGAATAAATTAACCTAGTAAGATAATCACTTTTAATAACGTTCATGACTAGAATGAAACGTTTACAAACAGCGTACAACATGAATCGTTTATATATTAGAGTTTAGAAAAAAGATAGACTCATAATCGATAAGTGATCACACATCGAATGATTGCTTGATGGATTGATTAAAAATTGTTGAACCTTTTTCGTTACGAAGATGCTACAGAAAATGAACGTGATGATAAGGTGCATCATCAAATACCAACTGAATGTTTGCAATAAAACAATACGAAACCAATCGACATGTATCTATCGATATGCTGCTCTTTGTTGAACCATAGAGTTGTTCCCTAACAACAGTTGCTCTCTCTCTCTCCAACAAAAGTTTACATTTGTTCTCTAACAAAAGTTTCATGGGAGCAAAAATTATTAAGTTACTTAATCATTAGAGCAAAAAGACAACAACCGAAGTAATATGAACTCGCCAATTATTCAGAACACGGTCGCATCACATCGTATGCACACACACACAACGAAGTACGAATGCATTTTAACATTAAAAAAACTGGAAAAGAACTTCAAGGACATTCTTCAGCAAATCATTGAATCCTTTTCTTTTCTTCGCACAACTGTTCAAAAACCACTGCTCACTAGCAACAAGTTTGTACTGATTTCTATCGATTGATTTTAACAAAATGAATCAAAAACAACAAACGCAAAACATTAGTTTACCATAGACACAACCAAACAGCAGCTATGTGTATAATTGCATATATTTATTTGTGCGTAAATTGAAATATGTTTGATAATAATAAAATAAGAACACCCACTTTTCAGAAGCAGTACTTAGTGCTGAAGATGAGATGCTTGTAAGCAAAGCACTTTTCTGATTGATCAATAAATACTTTTGCTGATTAAAATGCAGATAGTGGTAGTAGTGATTAAAACGACACCACATTCAATCTGAATCAATAAAATGCAATACAATGATTATTGTTCAAAAAAAAAATCTTCTCCACTCATAAAATTGCTGCGTATCAAACAAACATTTTAAACTATAGTATCATATCGCTTTATTTCTAATTTTATTGTGTATTACCATTACTAATAATGTGCGATACGACAAAACGCAATACTAAGAATGATTACTTTAAATACTCCATTGTTACTGCGCAACAATACAAAATTCTCGTAGAACACTAATAGTTGGTGGAAGGAATCGTCGCTGAGCTCACACTGGTTGAGGGAAAATTTCGTCGTTGTAACGAAGAATGAGAATTGTAAATGTGCTTCATCACTTAATCACAAAACGTCAATTAATCGCTGGTTATCACACACATGTACGTAATGCTGAAATGCGTAATTTCCCTTTCAAAACTTGATAAACACTCAACAGAAAGCGCTTGTTAAAAGTGGAAAACAGCGATATGTGAAGAGTAACACATTACTAAAATGCCAACTGTGTATTCAAAAACAGAGCAATTGACTGTCGCAAAAAGGTAAACATGGTTTGAAAATGCCATATTATGCCGTCATGCAACTGACGAACAAAATTACACGATACAATAACAATCATGATATTTGAGAAACTTTACTAATGACAGTGATGACAACGAGAATAATATAACAATGAATGATAATAACTGATTGACAACACATTCATCTCTAGAATGATAATAGTTACAAAATAAAAACTGAATATAAAATTTAATAATTGGTACACATTCATTGCATTTAATCGAGTATAAGGATGAGTGAGTATATGTAAATTAAAGCTGCTTACTGACGAAACTGCATCAAGAACCAAATGGCATTATTCAACTTAAAGCTTACTGAAGAGGAGAAAGACAAATGAACAAGAACCTATACTAATCCATTACAACTTTATCCTTCTCAAGACAATAATACGTATATGTACAACTAGAATTAACAATGATACAATTCATCGCAAATACACTACATATATTCAAAACACAATTACAATCAACAACGAAAATTTATCGTTCCAAAAGAATATGTACTAATTGAAGTTAGTATTGAACGCGTTCACATCTCTATCGAAACGATTTGTTGAAAAATTCTGGTAATCACCTGGAATTCAGAAATTACTGATTCGTAGAAGTTAAAACTAAACAATGTCTAACATTAGAATACAATCATAACAAATAAAATATTACATAATCATTCAGACTGTATTTCATTTTGTATTTGATTCAAATAGATCAATGAGGGATGTGAGGTGAAATACAGGTTTAGAAAAGCAACATGGTATTGAAATTAAACGTTTTCCAAATAAACTGCCATAAATTTTAACAACTATGTTCGCTCAATAACGAGCGATAGAAAGCTCGAGGAATTTTTGCCAGCTCGCTCGCCTAACTTGCGTCTCGTCTTAACGGCTTAACAAATTTCAACTGCCTCAGCTCGCGGCTCCCTCCAGCGCAACTCAGGTCTCTAGCTCGTCGGTGAGTTGAGAGGCTCTTTATGATTCAGCTGGCTCGACTAGCGAGCCCAGCCGCGGGCAAGGAAGTACTCCATCATCGCAATAACTATGCCACTTGTGAAAAGCAAAACTCTATAATAATAAATACTAAGTTCCCGATATTCGCATTAATCTTCAAACTGTCATGTAATTTAGATCTGAAGGTATGCGTTCCAATTCGTAGTATTATGGAAATATCAGATGAATCCAACGAAACAATAACGACGGTAATGAAACCTTAAAAACAATTTGGTTTGAATACCCAACAACAAAGTTATTAAAGGTTCAATAAATGACAACTTCGCAATCAATTCATCAGTCGCAAATGATCAATCATCACATAATAACACATTTCACTGGAACACGAGATTTACAACAAATCCAGTCGAGCGCTTTCCATTTCGGTAATTTAATTGAAGTACCAGCGGTTGGCAGAGGCGGTAGAAGGTCAAGTTCATCAGATGCCGAATCACCATCTACTTCAACTTCATCTGTTAATCTGAAGTTCATTTCATTAACCATATCATCATATTATCCGTTTAATCTACTCATAATTTGTGACTACATGATGCTTTCGGAAGATCAGTTTCAGTAATAACAACCCACAACTGATGCGATAGAAGAGGAGAAGCCACTTGAACAGTAAACATTAATGATAACCTTGAAAACTCTTTAGTGGAGTTACCCCTTGAAGGTGTTCGTGAGATATCGATTTTTGCGTTTGCATTAACGCTGTCATTATTATACTCATCATCGTTATCACTATCAAGCTGATTGCAGATAAGCGGTTGATCAGCTTCAGGCTTATAAGCATTCGGAAATACTGACACCATTCCATTTTCTTCATCGTCGAAATCCTCATCTAATGAGAATTGCGCGCATTCATCAGACACAACGCGAAATGTCCCTTAAAAACATTTCTTTTCATTCAAAACGCATCTCTTATTACCATTAAGAATTTCATTGTCCAACATTGCTTCTTTTATGTTATTATACTTGATTATTATTATCATTACTACTATTACCATTTTTCGTGTTCTAGTACAACACTTTTCTTATTCACATGATTGCAATAATCACAATGTTTTGTATACCTGATCTTACTATTCGATAATGCAAAAAATATTTCCCCTACGATTGGTAATAATTAATTAATTATTATTAGGCGATGTTTTTTGAACCAAAGTTTTAGTTGCCTTTTGCAAAAGACTGATGGATGATAGGGAGAATTTGATTCGGATTCATTTGCCCCATTACATAAGTATAGCATATTCGTTTACTAGCGTTGAAAAAAGTTTAAAATCTGTGATACGGTTTAATCAAAGTTACCAATTTCACCACTGTTATTATTGTTAATCCAATTTTTAGTGTACATTTAATGTATTTTATTTAGTGCATAATAGTTCAAAATCAATTGGAATACGTTAAAACTAAGATTGGTTTTCATTCAAGACGGATGAATCTAAAAGCGTTTTTCAACCCTAAAAATAGCTAGGTGAATTAATCAATCAGTCATTCGGTAAAAACAACAACGACAACAACGGATGGTAAGCGATGAAAAAGAAAGATTGAAATGATAAACGGCAACCGTTAGATCGTTTTTGATGAGATGCTGCTAATCTGGTTGCAGCGACTGAAACTGAACCATTCAGCGCAGATGAAGTTGTGGCTGCTGAGGAAGCCATTATTATTTACTGAAATTATACTATCATTCAGTCGGACTCAATAATAGATTACCTCTATCGTTGACGAGTATTCAAAGCAATTCACTCAGCCAGTGAGCAATAATCACCTCAGATAACCGAACACACGCAATCAGCATTTCCTGATTCGTTATCTTCGCTTCAATTCGACTCATTACTTCGGTTTTTTGATGCTGTTGATTCGCCATCTAAATCCTCATAAAGTGTGTTCGTACATCAAATAAATGTGCTTATTTCATTCACAAACAATAAAAAACAGCCATAAAAGGAATCTATCGCCACTGAAGATGGATCATCACGATGAAGATGATCAACTATATTCAGCAACAACTCATTATAACTGGCCTACACAACAATTTTTTAGGACAACGTTTTTATGAAGTGTGTATGCATTCAAGTATTACAAGCGAGTCTTTGAACCGCTGACTATTCAAGAAAATAGCCAATAATAAGAAATAATGAACATTTTATTCAGTTATTTCTCAACAAACAATCAATAGACATGATAAGATGCCACGACTTTTCACGTTGAACGTTTTCATAATTTTACTTCGATAAAGGTGAGAATTATAAAATGAATTAACATGAAACTGATAACAAATGTATTAAACAAATAACGATATGTCACTATATTCGATATCAATTTAACGCCAACATCAGCTCAAGACAATGTGAAACAATCGTCCATGTCCGTTCTCCTCACTCAAGTCTCGTTATCCTTTTCATCAAATCCTTCACCCCCATAAAAATATTTGAGCAGCGCTCATTTCATCAAGACTGAAATACAATATGAAAACTATTCTTGTTCAATATTTGACTGAAATTCGGTAAATGTCAACGAACATAAGCTGTTGACAAACTTTGCAACAACAATCCAAAATAGTAAAAGTTGAATTGTCTTGAAACTAGCAAAATTTAAGCATACATTATTCTTTTATAGAATCATAAACTGGTGCTCGTGATTGCTGAATAAAAATAAAGATTAGCATTCACCGTTCAAGCATTCATCATTTTATTACAGTAGCTTGATGCGATATTAACGATCACTTATTCGTTCATCAGAAGCATTTCCATGTGACAGCATTTCAGTACAGGGACATGGCAATCATGCATTATTCCAATAAGCGTTTCTCATTTACTCTGCGCTTAATTTGAGGCGCTAATGGTTTGAGAATGCAGACGCAATCTGCGCTTAAATGATAATAACACTATTCACATTTTCCACCAGCCAAATTTTCAGTAAACGTAGTTTGGGCCTATAGAAAATATGTGGGATGTATAATGGAAAGGGCTCCGCCTGATGACGTCAAAGCCGCTATGAACGTAATAAGAACTCGTGAAACGAGCAACAAGAATTTACGACAACGCAAAACCATATAAATGATCCAATCATGAGAAATCAAAGACTGAGAAGAACGTCTGTTTAATCCCCTAATGAAGCTTCTACAAACCAGCACATCAATCGTTAATTGAAAAATTGGTTGATGGAGAAAATCAATAACGATTTGGACGACTTTATTGACGCATCTAGCTCAGATGGCGTCATATTGTGCGTATTGAATCGACTGCTTGTCAATCGGCTGACAATAAGAATCAGTCACAGTCACAGTACTCTAATCAACTGTTCCTTGCTAGAACAAATTCCGATTGAAAAAAATGATCGTTAGTCAATTACCACAATTATAATCGCTATGTCACTCCATTGTTACGTCATAATCGCTATGTTATAAACTGAGTTTGAATGGATAAAGGCTAGTACGTTCATTTGATGGTCATTTCATTACTTGATCAATGTCAGTATAATTACTACTAAACTTGCTCAACGAATTGCGAAATGATCGATATTGAACTGATTAATAAAGTGCTAAAATAGTGAAGCGAATAGCTAAGAAGTATATCTCATCCACTCGATCGATTCAGCTGCATAAGACTGAGTTTGAGTGGATAAAGGCTAGTGAGTAGAATGTAAGCGATAATGTGTAAGATGTTCATCACAGCTTATAGCTCACTGAACGCGATAAATATTAGATGAATAATTACGGGCCAGTGATCTACCTCGTTGCCTGTTGTACTGCAAAGAACTGTGTTGCTTTGTTATTGCTAGGCATCACAATTAATATTATTTCAATGATTGATCCATGTACAAATTTTCTCCACGCAATTATGAGTTTACGAAGAAATCGTATTGCTATTTTCTAGAATGGTATATTGTGTGAGCACTAATACGCTAGTACCGATAAAAAATAGTTGTTATCATAGTAGATCAGGTTTTTTTCTCACAGGTACGAGATAGGGTTTTATTTTTTGTGCACTAAAGTTGGCTAGGATGGAGTTCAATGCTTACATGTGTGTAAAGCAGATGAGGGCAGACTTTAACACATATATTTTTGAAAGGTCTAGAACGTACACCAATCATATATACTTGTCTACACTACAGACACTCACTGTAGTGGATGGGAGATACAGAATTGATGTCGTGAGGAGTGCGAGCATATTTTGAAATTTAATAGGGGGCGCAGGGGATGCACTGAAACAATTCAAAGCACAACAACAACATTAAAATAACCATTTTTATCACCACCAAACAACAAAAAATATGCGTGATTAAACCAATAACGTAACAAGAAACATAAATATGAAATACTAATTAAAGAAACAAATAAAAACACATTAAATATCAACATGCATTATTATTATTGATGTCAGCAAAATTGAACTTTAATAATTATCCACTGTGACATACATAACCTTTCAAAGAAATGAATAAATAAGCATTTAACACTTTGAATGAATGCATCATACTCTAACTAGCAGCTCCATAAACATTAATCGGCCCTCGTTCACAAGCGATTAAATGAGGGAAATCTGTGACTCAACCTCAGTAAAATGAACGGGTAGGTGGATGGATAGAAAATTCGGTTAAGTTGAACATGATAATCATCAATTAAGTGATTCGTGAATGTTTTGTTACAGGAAGAAACTCACCCAACAATATAAACTCAAACAGCATCTGGAAGATAATTCAGTAAGAGAGATTAGGCGGTCTTAAGAGCACTGTTCAAAGGGTAACAAAACATAGATGTATTCATCTGTCAATCAGCACTCTTCACTTGATCATAAAAACAGATACAAATCCACTTGTATCAACAATTTAATTTAAAAACAAACAAAACGCTGGAATTTAAATCGAAAATGACTGTTTGCTGATAATAAACAACCTGCATCATGCATCTAAGCACACTTGCATGCATGATTCTTTCAACAACTAATAGAACAAACTGAACAACTTTACGAACAACTCGCATAAGAGATTGCATTAACGAAACAATCAATAACAGTAATAGTGCTATGTGATAACAAAACAACATAGAAAAAAAGTAATAAAAGTACCATTATTTAATAGACTAATATCCACACAATCAATAACGAACACGTTGTTCCTGACCACGACGTCTACCTGGTGCATTTGTATTCCATCCTCTTCTCGTTGCTCCATCTTGCGTACGCTCTCCTCGACGGTCGCCCTGCAACAAAACCACAATCAAGACAGTTCTTCTCAACCCTTTCAAGCGATTGCCCAGCTCGGCTGAGAGCACAACCAAACCGCCTTCCTTAAAAGACGTTTAAGAAGACGAAAACAAATTAAAAAGTAACAATGTTATGCGAAAAACATGACCATCGTTAAATTTAGGTGCTACAACAACAAATGGCTAATGTTTGCTGAGAAACATTTCATTTATTGTTTAAGTCACAAAAAAAATTAAATGTAAACGTCCCAACAATCCAATAATCGAAATGATAATGAGTCTTAATTGGCGCATAATGTTAATCTTGTTGTTGACAGCCCTAATGAAGCTGAAATTTGATGCGCCGAACTCAAACGATTCATGTTTTCATGAACCTTGATAGCAATTGCGGAGATCTGTGTACTACTCAAATTTTTCAATGTGGTAGAAAATGCTAATTGTACGTCTAGTTTCTCATTTCTAATTAATATCCATCGAGCTCATTTACTTACTTGGATTAGCTCGACATGTGATTCAATTGCCACAAAAATTTTGCAAGAAGTCATTCTGTAATCATATACATTTGATGCATTAAAAGTATGGGAGAAAATCTGGAATCGAACAACAATGAGGAGCAATTTACGTTGACTGGTGCGCTGAAAAATGCGGATGGATACTGCCTTAACCCAACTGTAAAGTTGAGAGTATGCCATTGCATCGCGCCTCAGCTCGCGTTCGTTCGAACTAATGGAATGAGTTGGGTGCGTGAAGTGGGTTTCACGGCACATCAGCGCAACAACTTTCAATATCTCTCGAAATCGCTGAACCAACAGCAAGATAAAGCAACATCAAACCTTCATAATCACCTCGATCTATGAACCCAAAATCGCTTATTAGCACTAGACTTCTCCCACCAGCCAACTTCTACGTCAGATTCACCTATTCATACATCATTTTCACCCACTAGTGGGACATATCGCTAAGGCTGAGAACCATTCGATTAAAGAAAATTACTACAGAACAAATGAACAGAGAACATCAACGAGTATTTCAACACATTCAATTGATACTAGGATGAGATTGAAGTTCTGTCGTTGTTTTCGGTGGGTTAATTCAACTCCTTCTTTGCTACACTCATTTAATTTGATACCTATCATTCGCTGGTTCTTGAAATGCTGCATTTATTATAAAATAAGCATTCTGTGCAATAGGTTAACGGTTATATTGTTATATAACCGTTATAACACTCGCTGAAAGATTATACTGTTTGCGTCATAATCAAATTTTCAGTAATTAGACATTTTGAGGGCTTATTCATTCAGGAAATAAAGTGGTAAAAGCCAAATGAAGTATGACTCGAAATGCGTAAAGCACGTTACTGCAAAACAAATGAAAGGAGAATAGTAGACAAACTGTGATAGAAAACGTGGTAAAATTTCGATGTTACCGGTTGTTGGACTTTTAGAGTGTATTTACACGGTAAATTGGGCTTCAGCGTTATTCTACTGCATCGTGGCTGTTAATCGAACGTGAATTATCAAAAGTGTAGAGGTTTCGCAGCACCAATCTTTGCGCAGTATCCATTTTTGTAGATTATTTCAAAGTCCCTTAGGAATGAATCCACAATGTTGCCAACGATTTCAAAATCCATCACTTATGTACTCCCGACTATATTATCAAATCTCGTCTCACCGTAACTGAATCGTTTGAATCATATTTTTTGCTAAAAACCTGACTAAGATATTATGCTTGCTACACTTCGAAGGCAAAACTTTTCGGTGTTGAAATTTGCTTCCGGAAAAAACATGAAAATAAAAAATCGTAGATCCTCCCCCCACGTTTCCTCAATGAGTATAACGATAAATGTTAGTATACTGATACAATTCCACGATTAAAAAAACTGCATTTCAAGTGTTGTCGAATAACATAAACTGCTTAAACAGAATCAATGAATGCAACAAGTAACTGGATGGGAAATCACAAGGGAACCTTAGATCACCCTAATACATAAATAAGAAACAAAAAATACTCCCTACTGTTCAAGACCACCTGGAAAAGAACGTGATCTTACGGTTATAATAGATGATCGCGTAAAGAAAGAACAAAATGTTCCGATGGTACACAATAACAACAACATTCGTAATAGAACAATATTATGTGTACATGGTCTTTTGCTATTTGCATCAAATAAAATTACTGAGGCTAAAGCAAATTAATATTAATTGATAATTTCGGAAAAAAAGAAATGTTACTGATTGTGAGCGAATAAATGAATTGTGAATGGTAGTCATACATTCGATACTATTGATTATATCAACTTGTCACAGTTTTTCACCAAACCACAACAATCACCTACATACTTTTATTTAAATAATCAGTATTTATGTCTGTTTTATTGACAAACTGGTGATAAGTTCATTACTTTACATTTCGACTCCATTCTTACTCCAGTAATCAATTATTCATTTGATCATACTCGAATGTAATTCGCATTATTTTTGTACAACTGCATCATGTTATCTGCGAAAGCACACGAGATTAATAATATGAACTTATGAATGAAATCGAACTGAATCAACAACGTATTTCCGTCAACATCGCATAAAGCATCCCCACGATTTTTCAAGAGAGAAAAGTTTTCGCTTCGTTTTGCAATTCAAACAGAACTAATCGAAAAAAATATTTACAAGTGACTTCCACATGTGATGACATGACTAATTTATGGAGAATACGTTGCATATAACAACAGACTAAACAATTTTTTGACGGTTTTCATTTCAAAAAACATGCATAACTAGTGTGTTCTTTTCTGAACAATATAGTGGTCACTCAACTTGACTGATCGTAAGCTTTCACGCTGAACATTCCATGTGATAGGTTGTTCTGTGATCATGTAAATTCTTGCGTAGTTCCTTGCACTATAACAAACCAGGAAAGACTGGGGCATGAGAGTGAATATTTCACTGAACAGTACCACAAGCCAAATGAGGTCATGTGATACGCAACTGAATCGAGTAACAATCTGTATATCGATGAGTAGTCAATAATACCCTCCTATATTTTAAAGTTTCTACAGGCTATCTTCAATTCAGAACTGCAGCTCAATTGATACACTTACGAATTCAGTGAAAATTCATCGAACAAATCAACAAATTCTATTAAAAACATTATGAATGCCAAGTATACAACTGAGTTCAGTTGAGCTTCTTGATCAAGGCATGTATGGTACCATCTAAGTACGAGAATGAATATCAATTCGAGGCAACAGATGAACAATTCTGCAATGAGAGCGCATCATGCGCATAAAGCATAAGACGAAGGATTATTGCTCCACAGAGATGCAGATTTTCACTAAAGTGGATGAATCAAATTACCAAACGCATGAAATGAACTAATGATAAGCATGAATGCTACACTATATAAATAGGTGAATTAGGCTTTGGAAATTAGTTCAGTTTTGAAAACAATGTGCTTATGGCACAAGATCTTAATGCAAGAGAAAGAGTGCACAGACGTTTAATGGTTTAGACTAATTCTGGTCATGAGAAATTAATTCACGAACAAATAACCATTATCAGATGTGATTATGTGTACGTACACTCTAGAAATGAGCGAAAATTTATTCATTTATTTATTTTCTTGCTGATCGAATTTATGATCGAAAATATTGATTGAATTCTTCTTGAACAAAAATGGATGCTACTATTCAATTCAATTGCGACTTTTACTTCTTGAATGTTCATTCAGCTAAAATGATATATTATTAAAATAGACATATATACTATTTACGTTACATGATATCAGAACTATTTTTTTGAATCAGTAATTTAAAATAATTAAAAAAATAAACGATGAAATAAGTTTCGCGAATCGGTTCCTTATCACATATGCTAACGCCTGATCTATATACTATCAAACACATATCCTTTTTTAGGCTACTTTATAACAAATATCGGCAGCGCTTTCACAATTGTTCAATGATAGTATCAAGAAATGTACACCATGCAAATATGAAATGAACAATAACATGAACTAAAACAATAAATAAAAATCAATCCAACGAAAAAACGACGAATGAATTGAAATGATCACCTGAAAAACACCACGATTACTTCGCGGTTGCTGTTCCACATTGACCCGCTCTTGCCTGGGTCCATACCACGCACCTGGACCTGTATAGCTACGGCCGGCACGTGGCTCCAATATCTACAATTAGGAACAATATTACTGTTTAGACCACGGCTTCTCACAAGTGAAAAAAAGCTCTCCTTAGAGGAACATTTGTGGATGTCAGTGGGAAGGGTAAGGGATTAAGGTTGTCCTGTATGAAAAAAGAGTTCCAAATTGAAAACATGCAGCCTGTCAGATAAATGAAAGGTATGCAATACGAAAAACTGAACAAGGAAAACAACACTGAAAAACGCCACTTTCCCATCAACGACAGGTCTCACAAAATCGTCATTTTATACACCAAAGAAATTCAGCGATTCCCAAGCCGATATGAGACATAAACAAAACAAACCTGTTCATTGTTATCAGCTAGTTGGCTGAGCTTATCAGTGAGATGAAGCGCCAGCAATTGCAAACGACTTGGTTCTATTCTGTGCATGATAAGACAGTTCGTAGGCTCATCCAAGCTGGCGGTTAATTCCTCTGAGATGATCATTCGGCTAAAATTTCGATAATGATGCAATATTTGAGAACCAAACTAGAACTATACAATTAAGAATCAATTGAACATAGAATATGAAATTATTTGTCAGAACAGACCTGATTACTGAATGAACTTTACGTGTACTCAGGTCGAACAATTCCGCAAGAACGTTCAATGATACGGTCGTATAAACCGTCGAATACATCAACAGATAAGTACGTAACGATTCTTCTTGGATTCTACCCACAACCATTTCCTTTACTTTATCCGCATTACGGAACAGATTCCATACCTTTAATTCGACACACACTTAATTAATAAATCGATCTCACAATTTATTAGACAAACATCCAACAAAACTTGCATTACCTTTGCATTCATCTTATCATTAACAATATAATCACGACATTTCTTCCAATCTCCATTCAACATCGCTCGCGATGCAGCCACAACATGTTCGCGTGTATTTTCTGGAGGACCAATCAAAGAACTTTTTTCTGACTGAAATCAGTTATTGAAATATAAAACATTTTGTATATGGCGTTTACGTATGTATTCACAACACACGTGATACACAATTACCAGTGAAAAATAATAATTCCAAGGCGATGACGCATTATTTCCACTTTATCGCCGTGTATTTATTGCATACAGAGCAGAAATCTTAACATCTAATGAACATTTTCATTTAGATTGTTTACATTAAAATGAATTTATTAGAGTAGCGATGCTCAAATAGATATTAGCAATGAAGAGCATACTAAAGAAATAATATCTGAATACAAAATTTCGGCAACCTGTTTCAGTTGATAATGGAACGAACGTGAGAGTAGTCGACGGCGCAACTCATATTCTTGCGATGCCATGTGTGGGATTTCGAGTAACATTGAGCAGATCAAATAAACACATTCCATCAGTTCAACGTTTATGTGCATATGATAGGGAATTTGACGAGCACGTTCCATCTTTTCCTTGAAATACTCATTTGAACGACAAATATGAGAACAGTAATATTCCTTTTTAATACGAATCAAATAAGACAGACGCAGTGAAATTATTACTTTCTTCAACTCAAAACGTTAGTCATCTACATTGATCTCCATATTATACAACTTAGGTGAATAGCACAAGAAAATGATCAAATAAAGAGAGAATTACGCATACATTCTAATTTCGAGGCACTTAATCACCATCAATGCACCCACAATGAGCGAATCAAATCAAAAGCTCAGAAATCGTGCAGTTATTTAAACAAAACGATCGCATATCTATTCTTGCGTTGTGGGATTCATTCGTTCGATTTCATGGAAAATGCCAAAACAAAAACTGAACAACGACCAACTTGTTCGACAGTTTTTTCTTGTTGACGCAATGCTAGACCCTGGGCGAGCAACTCTTTGGCACGCTGTGTGTTCTGAATTTCCGACAGCCCCTGATGAGCCTCTTTGATATAACCATGACGGAACGCACAAAGACCAAGTTGACAAATGGTGCGATTGTACAGAATCTAATAAATAACACTTCTGTCAAAACGATTGCTGCTTCACATAAGAAAAACCCAATGAGAGAGTGACAACACGATAACCCGTATCTCATTAATAGAGTTATTGAAATCAGCGTTAAATTAGCAAAACAATGTACATATTGGGCTTGTACAGACATAAATAACACTTTATTGGATTGAAAGTGATGATCTCATCGCCAAATGAGAACACAGTAGCAGATACAAACCTGCGTGCTGACATCAGAATGATCGACGATGGATTGCAGATGTGACATAAGCATCAGGTCTCTAGCTTTATGCCAATTATCATGCAGAGCCAAATGGTAAATCTGACAGAGCATTGCTCGTTGACGGAGCCGTTTAGTTTCGTCACGGCAATATACCTCTTTACACAAACGATCCATCGCAACTGAACTCGGCTCCTCACCCGGCTCAACCATGTCTTCCGATTCGTACTAAATTGTCATCATATGATTGCAAAACAACTGATAGAGTTATTCATAAAATGACAACGAATAAAGTTGACTGGAAGATTTCCTTCTGTAATGCACATTTCGAGTACTAGATTCACGAGTTGTTATAATCGACTGACATAAAATGAGACAAACTCGAAGAAAGTTCAGGCTCACTTACCTTGTAATAAAGATGCTCAATTCTTAGCATATATAATTTGCAAATTTCATCATCAATGAAAATACCCTCTTCCAATCGTTCATTCACGTAGACCATCGCCTTATCAATCAATGTGCAAAGATCTTTCTCGCCTTTCAATCTTCAAAATCACATCATAATAGAACTTAATGAATCCACTCAGACATAACCGTAGAAATAAAATATTTATTCGCTGATATTGCTAATTTCTCTTTGATTATTTTGCCTCGAAGAAATAACACACAAACATCTTTCAGACTTTCACTTAGAGTCATTATTTCACCATGAAACTATAATTGCTCTGACTAAGACGAGATTAATATATATCGATCAGCATATCTAAGAAAAGAATAAAACTAACTTGTCAATATAATCTGTGCTATGACAATCTGCATTTTGAAGAATTTTCGTAAGCTCAGTATCAAGTCGTTGAACAGACATTAGTACTGATCCATGTACTTTGTACGATTCATCTGCGTTCGTTAAATTCTCATCATCTTCATTGATACTCACAGATAACTTCACATTCGGACTGTCATTTAACAGATCCAACAGACTGTTGATTGCACCTAATGTCCTGTAAAATCATTCAGTGTTGCTCACACATTAACTCACATCAGTTAAACAAATCAACTTACTTGGACCAACAACCATAATCCATGCAATCACTGATACGTGCATTCAACTCAAATAACGCCGATATTATTGAAAATAAAATCTTCACCAGGATTCCTGCACCAAGTTTGTGCTAAAAGTACAGTAATAATCATGATGACAATTAATACTAATAATGAAAGATGAGAACAGAAATAAAACAAAAAAGAAAAACCACTTACTTCATCAGCTATTCGGAACAACTCTTGTAAACTACGAACGTGATGCTTACGATTCGTGGATTTACGACCTCGAGTTGCGATAATCTCTTGCAATTTATTGATAACTACCTTGAACAAAATGGATCATAACGTATGTATCTGCAGGAAATATAAGAAATGATGACAGTACATTTCGATTCACTAACAAAGTAACCAATATACCATTGCAGAACTAATGAACCCACCTCATGAGTGATTTCTGTTTTAGCATCAAAAAGCTGTTTCATTTTTTCCTCTTTCGTTGGTACAGACACCCATTCTTGTTCATCCACATCTTCGACTAGCCTCTCTTTTGCTTCTCGTTCTTTCTGTCTCTGCGCCCTTTCAGCTTGCCTCTTCTCCTTACCTTCAGTTTCAACGCCTTCTTTGTATTCTTTCCTCAAATGAATCATTTAGTTCATCTACCATTCATTATAATGGAGTCTCGCCATTCATTTTCAACTGCAATACTCTGTTGCAGCAGTGTCTGAAGTCAAACAATAAAAACTTACTTCAGGAAAAATTTACGAAGGTCTTCCATTTGTTTTCCTTCAAAGTCAAGATCTGAATCAGATTCAGAAGAAGATTCTGAATCAGAGCCCCATTCATCAGAACTCAAGTCCATATCTCGAACTTTCTTCGATTTACTCTTCTTCGTAATTAATTCCTCTTTCTCTCGTTCCTCCTTGAAAATGAAACATTGCTTCTATTCTCACGATTAATGTCTCAACTGTGAACAATCAAAATGAATAAACCTTCAATAAAAAGAGAGTGCAACACCAACCGGTTCGTCCTCATCAGCCTCACCATCAGCACTTGAGTAACCAATTGGATCGGGTTCTTCCCGATAAGACGACACCTCTGCCTCCATATCCTTAATTACCCTATTTGCAATTCAACAATTTCACTCAACGAATTCCGGTTACAAACAGAAACGACGTTATAAATAAGCTTTAAAAATTGCACCACAACGCTGATCGATCGCAAGTTTTCAAAGCAATAGCCCAATGATGAGCAATTAATTAACCGAGGAAACCACACTGTAATGAGATGAGATATTTCGCTTCGCAACAAAAAAATATGTTGATGGTTTTTATTAAATCAACGCATATGCAACCGTGTAAGAAAGAAATCAAAAGTGAATATTAAGATCAAACGGAACATAAACAAACCTTGTTATACTTTCGGATTTTCTGTCGTAAAGTAGTGAGACCTTTCGAGTTTGCTTTCGACATAGTTTTGCGTGCCTCTTTGTCTTCCCACTGCTCATTAACAAAATCCTCGATTTCAACAAGAATACGAATATAGAAACGTGGCGTTGACATGCTCTGTCGAGCCAAAACTGCCTTTGTCTTCTCGAACACTTTGCACAACTCTTCGAACGCTACAAAATCAACGATTCACTTGCTTGCAGATAAGGTGCATTAATAGTGAGATAATGGTTAATTCATAAGCACTGAAATACTGATTGACAACTGCAGATATGCATGACGCAATCATCAAATCAACGGTTAATCTACGAACACGTAGTATTCGCGTCTGTTCAGGATATATGCTTGATATACTGCAGAACTGAAGGACATAAAACTGAATCAGAATGACTGCAACTAAACAGTGTAGCATTGAATTATTTGAAAACGATAACAATTGATTTCATGACAAAGGAACAGTGAGAATTATTCCTCGTTGGGTATAAAATCAGTTTGATCGCGCATAAATGAACTAAACCTATATGGATAGTATTCAGAGCTAATGCCATGTCTTGTTTGATCTTACGAAATTATGGCTGTATGAAAGAGAAACAGGTTGTTACAGCATATGCAACAAAATGATATGATTAAAAACATACTGGAGAGTAATTTAGACATATCCTTGATATTTTTGGAATTTTTTGCTTGTTTAATGAGGTCTTTGAGTTCCTCAAATTTTCGATCCTTATGTGCTTTAACAACACGTTTTTGCCCTTCCTCTTCGCTGTCTGATGGGTACATGAAGCCCACTCTGAAAAGAAATGATAGTGTAAATTGCAACTCACTGATTAGCGTGACTTACATAATATGACAGAAGTAACATCATCAGCAATACAAAACGAGCATTGGACTTACTGAGGGCGTTTAGTCGGAATAATTTGTTCTTCATCACTGCTTTCACTGCCTGACGAGTCGGAACTCGATACGGCTCCTTTGAAAAATTTCGACATCGCGGGATGGAGGTTTCACGAGGCAAGTACAAAGAAATTAACCCTGGAATCTTAAACAAATTCAAGCAGACATTATCATTCAGTTCATCTGAGTAATCCGAACGCAATCACATTCACATTAATTGGTAAGGTCTGCAAGCCTAAACCTAACGTAAACCTTAGCCTAAATCTGAAATGTGCTCAGCCACAGTCGCTGCCTATATACCAATGCAGCAAAATTAGTTTCTATCGATTATTTTGATTGAAAAGATCGCAGAAGTGCCGCAAAAACAAAGTGAATATCTGAAAATAATGTACGTACATGAAGCAACACAAAAACTAACAACACTATTGTAAAAACGATTACTATTTTATTACGCAAATTACAATTATGATTAAAAAATTGACGTAGTTTGTAGATAATAGTATTATTATCACAATTCCAACTACATCAAATGTTCGATCAGACACACAGCTGATCAACTGAATGAACATCAATCAGTAAGACCCTCACGATTCTGAAAAACGAATAGGAAAATCACAGCAATCGATCACCTTCGTATGTAACGATTCAACATGAAGATTCGTGCAATGTTCGCAATGAGCTGTTGAATCTCGTATTCAACTACAGGGTGTCGGAAACAGGCGACGGAATCATCAGGGGCGCAATTATTTTGGAACTGCTCATGAAAGATAACACGTACACTGTATGCTGGTCAATGGTCATATGCTCGTAACATTCTGTGACCACTGGTCTATATCCTGTGTTTTTTTTCTCTTTTCAAATCCCTAAAATATGGCTGTATGCAGATTGTGGCGAAATAGGGAAAGAAAACTGCCGTTGATGAGAATGCCCTGCATCCACACCTTGCCGGCTGACAGGTGCTGCACGGGACAGTGGAGTATGAACCTGAGCTTAGGTTAACTTATGGTGAGATTCCAGTTTTGACTGATCGGGGAAATTAGGCGATAGAACTAAGCATAGGTCCACGATGGGCACAGATTGACCCATCGTAAAATCCCAGCTTTGACGAGTCTCAAGTTACACTGAAACTCGTTAAAATTGCCCATGAACCCGACACCACTTTAATGGACCGGCCAGGTAGCTCTTGGGTGGTCCCAACAAGCTTTCTTGCCACTGCGTCCAAACTTTTTGAATATCTTAAGAGAGGCGCATATGTCAAATTTACAATAAAAATCAAAGTTTATCCAGTTTCGCCAAGCAAAATTATATCATGTTGACAATCAGTGGGTAAACATCGACAGGAGTACTTGAGTCTGATATCACAGAGCAGGCACTTCCATCCTCACTATCAAACATTTGATTTTTGCAATCATGCTTGAAAAATCAGATTTATTTTTCACACATTCTCAAATGTGAAGAGCTATTATCCACGTATTTGCATCAACATCTTCGAATTAGGTCAATACTACTTTAATTGTAAATATTTGCACCTTTTTACGCAAATTCGCCTCGAAGATATGTATCCATTAAATGATGTGCAAACACCCAAACGTAAATGTTGAACGGTGTTCGAAAATGGACGTCAAACATGCTCTACCACAAACTAGGCCGTCAGGAAAACAATACAATTAACTATGAACAATTTGGTGTGAATACAACGAATATTCAGCGAACTTAAGTCTGATATCACAGAACAGGTTGGCTGCTGTTCCTATAATTATTGATAAGCAGAGCTTATCATTATTAACAACAAACTGTTTATGTCAATCTTTTGCAAGATCCACGATTCTATGTTTTAATCAGAAATACGATTGATCATAATCAGAAAGCGTCGTATAACGCATGTATAACGGCTGTCGAAGAATGAGATATATGCATTTAATCAAGATATATGCACTATCATTACGGGACCGGAATCGAACAAACTACATATCACTTACGATCAGTTTATATTGAAATCGCTCGTGAAAACGACAACAAACAATTGAATGACACGAATAACACCTAAGTGTACTGTACAAAACAAGTGAAAAACATTTATGAAACAAACAAACCAACGATTACAATATAAAAACTGACATATTATATATTATTCAATATCCTAATTGAATGATGTTATTAAAGGATGGGAATCAAGAACGGGATATTGAAGAGAAGCTTTATAAACCCGCTCAAATTATGAGTATGAGTTTCGTTATGAACTTATTAGTCTTCTGCTCATTCTCTTCGAAATTTCCTCCTCATTTGAAATGTTTTGGCTGCTTAGCAGTCTGCGAAATTTGAGTTATCTGTCTGAGTTATAACGTTACACGCATGAATGAAAGCCTACAAGTGAGCCCAAACCTAAACCAGGCGGATGAGAATACAAGTGAAGTGGGTAATTTGGCACATTATTCAGGTTGTCGCGTGTTTTCAAAAAAAAAAAAAACCTCAACTGAAAGGACATCCGAACTCAGTCTATATGAATATGAGCGAATAAGCAAAAGGATATGAATGAATGAATGGACATAATTTTCAACAAAATGGAAAAGTAATACATAAATAAGAATAAACAACAATCAACTATTATCCACTGTCAAAACGTCAAATATGCAATGCAACGCAAAAGACTGAATCCAAAAATGGGTAACGCAAACAAAACGGTAGTGTTCTTTATCAATTTTTTTAATAGGAATTTAAGAACGAAATGCGAACGATTATAACGAGTAATAACTGATAACAACGAAAATAATAGCAGTAATAATAACACCGACAATAACCACGACAACATCAGTCATAATAGCACCTCCTCTTTATGCAGTGCATTAACTTCGAAAACGCACTAAGTCAGTAATTCGGATCAAATACTTTAGGGAAGTTCCAAATTCAGTGATAACAGTTTATAATATCGCTGAGAAATTCTGAATTCTTTGCTCACTCAACGCGAAATTTTTCATGAACCCCCAACAACATTATCGAACAGCAGCGTAATCAGCCATAAAAATTTATTCAAATTGACTATCACAGTGAGCATCGCACAAATACGTTTCACATGAGGAACATTATAAAGCCACAATCGCTATTTGCAATGAAATTAGTTCGACGAATCTGCAAACACTATATCAAACACTTCGTCGTAATGCGAAACAAAGTGCACTTCTACATTTTGACGAATGAAATCTGCTAAATCCGCGAAATCCTTCCTGTTTTCCTCAGGTAATATAATGCAATTAACACCGGCTCTTTTCGCCTGAAATACATGAACATGTCACTGCAGTTAAAGATCATTTAGATTTAATCAACACAAAACGTTTGAGTGAAATCGCTATGATTTCTCGGTATAAAATGCTAACTGATTTTAATATCTTTGTCTAGGAGGCCCAATCAAACGATAAAATGTATATGTAAAACATATTCACTGATTATATCACTTACTGCGATGATTTTTTCTTTAATTCCTCCAACGGGCAAAATACGTCCAGTCAACGAAATTTCACCGGTCATCGCTAAATTTTGCCTTGCAGGTCGATTGGTTGCCAGCGACAAGAGAGCTGAAGTGATCGTACAGCCAGCTGATGGTCCATCTTTTGGAGTAGCACCCTGAAGAACGAACTCTTTTGAATCACCTCTTAATTTTCGTCTCTTCTATCAAGAAAATCATATCGCGTCAGTGATCAGCACAATCAACACTAATTATACTGCAATATTTAATAAAAATGCAAACGCTTAGAAATAATCTGCAAATTTTGATCACATGTCACCCTGACCAAGGATAAAACAACACGCTATCAAAAATGCTACGACACATACCTCAGGCACATGCACGTGCACATGCGCCTTCTCAAGGAAATCATTCTCCGGAAAACGTCTGCTTAACAGATTTCTCGCCACTGTATAAGCAGTTCTCATACTCTCTTTCATAACATCCCCCAAATGACCCGTCGCCTCAAGAGTACCATCTGGTTGGGGTCCTGAGTTTTCGTCCTTCTTCTTCCTGATCGTGGTTTCCAATCGACGACGAAGTGTCGCTTCAATGTACAGCGCTGAACCACCTACAAAATGTTCACAACTAATAACAACCGTCACTGCTTTTCAAGTCGTATTAGTTCTCACGTTTCCAAACTCTCTCCAGGTAATCACAGTAAATAAGTTAACACAATTGTAGCTCTTCACTCGTACAATACATTGTTACTTTCACCAGAGAAAACCGAAATGTGCTTATTAATTGAAACACCGAATAAGACAAAAGTTCACAAGACAATTACCCATAGCTGTCCAAGCAAGACCCATAATAACACCGGTTGGAGTAACATCATACAGACGATCGCTGGTGAATTTTGGTCGACCAACAAACTGCTCTAAATTGGAGTTGTCAACGACAATTTGTTCAGGTGGTGAATCTTTGGCACGGGCAATTTTGAATGCTGCTTTACGGAATATCTGCAATTGAATATTACTTGATCAATCATTGTTTAGAGGCAAATCAACCGATAACTGAGAGGAGGCATTAAGTTGACAGTTGATGATTGCACAAACACATCAGATTTGATGAGCAAAAACAGAGTTTGATAAACAGTTTCATTGCTTTGAAGTGAATTAATGAAAAATGTTAAAAACCCTCAAACGAACACCTTTTCAATATGTTTTTGCAGATTGCGCACACCCGATTCTCGGCAATATTGCTTTATAATGGTGTTCAAAGCTTCAGAAGTCAACTGCAGTTGAGATTCTTGCAATGAACTGTAACAAAAATGAATTTTATAAGAATAATACAACTGAGACAGATATGAACACAAATCATTTTTTGAGAGTATTCCACTATTTTGGAACTTCCGCCAAAATTCGTAGCCCTAAAGTAATATGCAAGGTCAGTGAACTTGAACAGACGGCAAAAAGTAATTCTTTAGCAAACTCCTAGGTGTGATCCTAAGTGCTATTTCAATTAAACAAATCGGTCATATTTCCACTATATCAACGACAATGAATCAAACATACCTATCAGCACGGCACTGCGGCACCAAATAACTGTTTGCAATGTTCAGTTTCTCTTCAGCCACATAGCCTGATACTTCAATCATTTCCATACGATCCTTCAGCGGACCTGGTATTGTCTCTAGCACATTTGCTGTACATATAAAAAGCACCTGAAATTTATACGCTTTACACTCACATCAGTGCGAATTTTGCACAAATTCTAAAATTTGGTTCACTTTCGATACATCGCCTAAAAAGATATACATACAAGTCGATGATGATGAAAACGGAACATCAAGTGTAAAACAAATACTTTGGACAAGTCGACAGGAACATCCAAGAAGTGATCGTTGAAGTTGTGGTTTTGTTCGGGATCAAGAAGCTCGAGTAGAGCAGATGACGGATCTCCGTGGTAACTAGCACCACCAATTTTGTCCACTTCATCAATGAGCACCAGTGGATTTTCCGTTTGCACCTCGAATAAATTATTATTATCATGGCATTACGTTCATGAGACTGTTATAATAACATGCATGAATTATCACCTTTTTCAAACACTGGATCATTTTGCCTGGCATCGCCCCAACGTAAGTACGTCGATGCCCTTTTATTTCAGCTACATCAGTCATTCCGCCAACCGAGAAACGGAAGTACTGAAATATTCAAAATTCTTTAAAATACTTTAGCATGATAGTGGATTTCAAACTATATTCGCAGCTATTTCCATTCACAATGATTAGTTAAGAATAACCGAATAAAAACTGAGTGCAAAGAACCGATTTATCATTCCATTATTTGACTAAAGCCCATTTAGACTTTCTCTCTAGTTGAGAAAATGCATATGAAGCATTCACTTCCTGTCTTCTTCCAGAACTGACTTACCTCTCGGTTCAAAGCTCTAGCAATTGATTTGGCTATACTTGTTTTACCAACTCCCGGTGGTCCATGAAAACAGAGAATTTTTCCACCGACTTTCTTCTTGAGTATACCAATTGCGATAAATTCCTTAAAAGGATGAATTCTTTCGGAGAAGTTTCGATGTCAGCATTAAGAAATTGTATTAAATACAAGAAAAATCACATTGTAATATAAAACAACTCAGTTTGAACTTAGACTATATAAAAATCGTACTAACCAAAATACGATCTTTGACATCCTTCATTCCATAATGGTCTTCTTCCAGAACTTTCATCGCCCATTCCAAATCGAATGTCTCTTCAGAGGTTTTTCCCCACGGCATACTCGTCAACCAATCGAGATAGTTTCTTAATTAAAAAAAGCAGATTTTCTTTCACAATAACATGACAAACAACGAAATATGAATCGTGGATTCGTTCAAGAAATGGATTGAAAAACCGATGGATGGGAATGTTATCCATTTAGAATTTACCTATAATGGAGAATTTGAACTAATGAATGAAATAATGAATGCAATGAATTCATCATAAAAGGATTACATAAAATCGAAACTAATTTCTGAATATGGTCAATGAATAATTCATTTTTCATTTCGTTATACCTCGCAACTGAGAATTCACTCGAGTGTGGATCAAGAAACGAAAGTTTCGCTTGTTCTTCTTTAATGACTTTCATCACATATTCTGGAACATTCAAATTCTTGATGCGTTCATCCATTTTTTCAGCTATCGCCACCTTGTCTTCTTTTTCAATACCCAACTCTTTTTTGATTACTTTCAACTAAAATGTTATCACTGTTAGTAGCACAATAGAGTTCATTGTTTAAATTAACAATTGATAATGACAATATAAATCAACTATTCATCTACTGACAATAACCTGATGACGTTAATTTTCAAAATTTCCACAAAAAATTTTTTACCTGTTCGTTCAGAAGGAATTTACGATGTTGCTCTTGAACTTTTCTTTCAACATCTTTATTGATATCATGCTTCAATTTAGCCACTGTCTTTTCCTTTTCCACCAAGACAAGTGCCATTTCAAGGCGACGATTCAGCTGTAAAAACATTTATCAATGAAATGTTCACTTTCGGTTCAATCGAGTTCACAGTTCATTCAGTAACGATGAAGATAACACCAAAATAATTTAATCACTAATGAATCGCAATCGATGAAACACATGCCCACCGAATAGTACGGATAAGTGAGAAATGTCAAAATGCAAAACTAACATTCATTTCCTGCATCATATTTTGCAGATCGATTGTATCAGCACTTTGAACAAGAGTGGCCACAAGATCACACAAATAAACCGGATTATCGACTACATTATGTGATGGATGTAGCAGCAAATTGATTTGTTGTCCAAAAAGAGCATTGTACTGCACGATATCACGAATTGTTTGTACAATGGCTTGCATTGTTGCCTTCAATATTCTCTTTGTTGTTACATCAAATAATCAACAGTTAATCATAATCACTCGCTGTTCAATTCAGCAATGTTTTACAGCTACCTGAATCAACTTAATAGCAACAAGCACTACGCAATCAGAAACAATTTTCAATTGAAGCAATTTCAATAAGCCAACAAACAACGTACCTTAACTTCAACCGTTTTTTCAATTGGTTCGGTGATCACATTCTCTGTTTTTGCGAGAATAACCGTTGGTTCGCTTGATGGTTCAGGTCCCGGTGAGGACTCTTTCTCCTTTTCCTTCTCTTTACTAACCTTCGATGATCTACGGCGTTGTTGACCCACACGGCGACCATTCACACGACCAACACTCGCACTGTAGATGAATTGTGATAACAGTAATCGAAACAATGACCATTATAATAATTTCAAGCTATCATCAGCAGTTTCATCAATTTCTTTTGCGATTTTGATGAACAGAATTACTCCTTTGAACAGTTTTGCTGCAATATTCAAAAGTCGCTTAAATGTAGCCACCTTTTGAATGAGTACGGTAGCTACAAAATTATATAATGTAAAAGAGAACAACCAATACATACGCGACAATAAAAATATTCAGTCCAAGTCAATATTCGATCGCTAAAAGTAATTCAAATGTGAATAAAAATCAATCAAACCATTCATACCCTGCGTTTGAATCATCACTAATATCATCAACTGATTCCAAAATTCGAATCCTTCGTTGCGCCGATAAGATTAGTTCAATAACCGAGCCCAAATCTCGCATCTCAATTATTTGTGCAAATGATCCCACTGAATAAAGATCCGACAGTGACATAACTGACTCGGCTTTGCTGCTATAAATAACACTGGTTGGGTGAGTCCGATCAAGAAGCTAAAAGTAATTCTTAACATGGCAATACTCACTCATCGTCTTTTTTCACGAACACACCAACGTACGGCTGACGCATTTTCACTTTTCGTCTTAAAAGTTCTTTCAGTGCTTCATCTTTGACAATCTGCAAACAACTTCACTTTCAGCTGAATGCCAATTACAAACTGTTCACAGCAACAACTACAATGATTACAATTAAAACACCGTGTTCCCAAAATATTCTCGAATTGCAAATAAATGAGTAATAGGAACTTAATAGTAATAATTAATAATAATAATAGTGGTAATAATAATAAAATATATTACTCACATCTACTTTTTTAATAAATCCAGGAAATAGTGGATATCGGCTAACAGCGATTACAGGTACAATAGGCCAATTCTCGGGTACCGTGATTGTACTCATTGACTAGAATTATAACATATCGTGTGAATGATGAAATCCTATCCAATGTAGACAAGCGTAATAACAAAGTTGCATAACACAACGATACTTGTTTTACAATCGCTTTTTTGGACTGATCATTGCGTCCATCCAATTACCGATGAGCTGATTCATTACTCGACACCTTATAGGGGACATCATCGGATTTGTAAACTTAATTCATCATTGCACGTTTGTTACTTGCCTCGACAGCAATGTGCTTTACTTTGCACTTATTTCAAGCAACACTTATTGGGACAGATAAAATGGTGGTGGTTCCACCACTGCCTCACAAATGAAGTTTGAAAAAATGACAAGTAGTTTCCAAACTATTAAATATCACTGATCATGTTGAAGAAAAAGGATGCAGATGCAAAAGTGCTATGGGCTGACAACAGATTATGTAGAGATATAAGTAATGAGTTGTAAATGTTAAATAAATTAAGAATCGAATTAATCTATTAATGATCCGATCACTGATACATCACCAGCAATAATGAGTGAACTAAACGGATAAATTAGATGATTGGACGAAACGAACAAAAAATAAACGCACCCCAGTTGAAGAGAGTATGTCCTCGACTTGTTCTACCAACTCGGCTTCCTTGGCTGAATCTTTGCCACCGGGTGATGATGCGCCGCCTTCAGATCCTCCTCCGCCTTCTGCATTATCACCAGCATTTCCAGCTCTGTAATTAACACACGTGCTTAAGATAATTCAGAAAAAAAAAACCAACTGTATATGGATCTTTTATTTCTCGCCAATTTCAAATCGTTTTTCTCTTTTCTGACATCACCTTCCATTATGAAATTCCACGAATGGGATTTTGCAATGAGCATTGCTTACCTTAAGAAATGACTGACTTTAAAATTTTTTTACAGAAGGAAAAACTCACTCGCTGCTATAAAATCTAATCGATTTCGTTGCAAATCGATCATTCCACGATTTTGGTGTAGCATATCTAGATCGATCTAATACAACTGACACGTGCAACAATGATGCCGACCTCGTGAAAATAGCACGCTGTAACTGGGGTGTTCTCAGTAAAACGCGGCTTCCACCTCGTAAGCTTCTTATTGAGTACATCGCGCGGAACGACATTACCTCGTTGTTCGACCTGTAATTTTCACATGATTCAATCAATTCGAAAAACGTATAAATGGATCTGAGTGACCGTAACTCTTGCAAATTCTTTAGAGAAGGAGACGATACAATTCCATCACTAATTGTTTCAAAAATCGAGTATAAAAATAATTCAAAACGAATTTTCCGAAACAGAAAAACAACTAAATTTTTCCTATTTTGTATTCTAGGCAGCTGAAAAACTAATGGTGACAATACATCAACTACAAAATGGGTAATGAATAAGGGATAAGAAGGGTCTATTCATTCACTTCACCCGGCTATGATGCTATGCATACAAATAAGAAGTATAGAGTACAAAATCGCCTAGCTCTACCTATAACGTTGCAATCCAAGTAAAAAATGTTCTCAGCCTGCACAGAATGCACGAATAGACATTTGGTCCCAATGTCATTTTCAATTATGACAACTTGTTATTCATCCACACTAATTCTTCACTCTGTAAAGCTCGTATCGGTACAGCAAGCAAACGGTTACGGACACATGTCTGTCGAAAAACCAGATTGTAGGTTCAATCTTCAAGGGATGCTTTCAGGGCAGATTAGGCCGACGGAAACCTGAACGTACAGAAATTGTCACAAAAGTAATGCACCCGTTTTTGTCATGTGTTTTGGAGATATGAATAGTATAGTGTGTTCACTGCACATTATATTTCCTGTTAGGGATGAGTGTTAAAGAATTTATCTTCAGCTGACAATAACCGAATGTTCCTTTCAGAGTCATTTTCGGCAACCCTGCAGTTCAAGGGGTTGGTAACAGAAGCCAAATTGCACCTTTGAAGCGACGCGGTCAGGTAGAGCACAGAGAAAAAGAGATCCAAT